AAAAGAAAAAAGTTATTAGAGTTATCAGTAACAAAAAGTTAAACGTTTTAAAGAAGAGAAAAGCCTTGAATCAGCAAGGTGGATTTCTACTACCGCTTTTGGGAGCTGCTATACCGTTTATAACGAGCCTCATCACCAGTCGTTAACATGGAATATACGGAAAAAGTGTATTTGGTGCCGCAACAACAGCTGGATAAACTAACGCAGCAGGGTCATGAAAAACCCATCGCACACAGGGTACAGACAGAGTTGGACAAAGAAATGCTTGATATTTTGAATAATGTAACTATGGACCCTCATGAAAAAGCTAAACACTATACTCACATTCTACAGCGTTTTCTTACGCTGGTGAGAAAAGAGGAGAGTGAAAAATCTGTGGTCAACACAGACGTGATAGCAGCCGAGGTTATGAGACATATTCCACGAAATAGTCATAAAAACGCTAAGTTAATATTGGAGATGTTATCAAAGACACCCCGGGTGGTTACGTGGAATGGAGATGGTGAAGTTGTGATTAACGGTAGTGTTGTAAAGGGCTCTCATGTTTATGACCTCATTAAGAATGTTACAGCTAGTCATAATATACTAGAAATTTCAAGACCTATCGGATGGTCTTTATTTTTAAAAACACTAGCCGAAATGAATATTCCCCAATCTGTCATTCCTAACACTATGGTTCGTAGAACTATTAATGAGTTTAAAAATATCCCTCCTTCTGATGTTTATGGGACGCCCTTAGTTAGTGCTAAACGTAAAAAATTACTGTCACCTAAATTCACCACTCCTTTAGTCACCAAGAGTGGAGCAAGTTGGTTAAGTTTTTAAATCTTCATGTTTGTTATGAAATGTTTTTCACGTGTGTTTATCATTCTGTATGATAAAATGTATCACTTATTATGAATGTGTGTGTGTGTTATGAAATGTTTTTCACGTGTGTTTATCATTCTGTATGACTAAATGTATCACTTATTATGAATGTGTGTTTATCATTCTGCATGGAAAATAAAGATTATACTTAAATATATTTTTCTCAATGATTTTTATTATGCACTACACATTGTACACAGTCGAAATCAGTTTCACTACATATGCCCACAGGTTGTATAGCATTAACAAAATGACATACCAAGGAATCGTTACAAGCCAGGTTAGAATCATACACACGGATAAACTCTTGATAACTTGAGCCTTTTAACATGTGGCATAGAAAAAATACACAATGTTGTCCACATGTTACAGAAAGATGACTCTGTACCTGTTTTATGGAATGGTAAAAACCTTCACTATTCTCCCTCATAAATCTGTTAATGCTATTAGGGAAGCTTTTATAAGTTGGTCCGTTGCCGAAGCTGTCAAAGAAGTATCCGCGCCTATCTTTAGAAAAGTAGGCGGCGATCCAGTGTTCCCCAGAGAGGGTGGAGGGGTGGGTGTTAATGACAGCACACGCCGGATAGCGTTTTATGACACTAGGTAAACGATCTGAGGGCAAAACACCTAGGAAAAGTGTTCTACGCTTTACACACTGTTTCATGATGCTCGTTAACTCTATAGTATTCATTAGTGGGTCATCTAATAGTAGTCTAATAGAACTTGTCTTCTGTTTGAAATCTCAATAATGGAATCAAAAACTGCATAGCAGATCAAATTAACGGTACGTGCTAGTGGTGTCCTAAACCTAGCTTCTAAACGTACGTTACCGGATTTAACTAGTGAAATATTACCACCATGGCCTTCATCAGCCTCTAAATTAAAACAGAACAGAGTGTAACCATCTCCAAAATCGTCTCGATCTATCGCAAGAGACCTGTCTTTTAAATGCCGACCCGTTGCTCGCTGGTATTAAATTAGGTAACTAACTGCAGTTGTTGCATTTTGAAAGTGCAGCAGAATGAAAAAGGGCCCAAGGTGAATCTGGCAATGGGTGTGAAGTGGTGTTGGAGCTATGAACGCATGGATCAGTGATCGTTCATGCGTATCTGCCATAACCAAAGCAGCCGCTGCCGCTCCGCAGGCTCCCAGGCTGCACCTGTCTCTACGGCTCGGCTCCTTCAGACGCGTACGTAACCTGGCTCACGCTGGCGTGACACGTCTGTTTGTTCGTATGAATCGCATCGTGGTGCTGCTGCTCCCGCTAATGCTGCTTCTTGTACTGCTACCGCTACTGCTGCTACTGCTGCCGCTGCTGCTTCATACTGCTACTGCTGCCGTGCTGCTGCTGCTTCATGTACTTTGTCATCTCTCCTCACTTCGCTTCTCTTTCTGAAACACTAAACAGCTACAACATATCCTACCGCTGTGGCTTCGATACAGGTTTTTTGCCGTTGTTATCTACGGATGCTGCTGCTGCCGCGGCTTGATACAGGATTGTTGCGTTATTATCCGAGGTTACTGCTGCTGCCGCTGCTGCTACTGCTACTGCTGCAACCCACTCTCTCAGAAGCTTATCCTGCTTCTAATGGATGCAGCCCGGCCGAGCATGCCGCGCTGCGCTGGACTCGCACCTATGCTCCCAGGGTCGCTTCGGCGGTCATACTTCATCTCCCTACTTAATCTTCTGATCTATCAGATGCAGCTGGCCAAGTAGCTGCGCTGAGCTGTCAATCGGACTCCTAATCAAAGGCATCCACACCTGTATTCTTCACTCTTCTGATCGCAGGCTCCCCATCATGCTGCCCATCCTGCAGCGGCTCTGAGCGGCACTGAACTCCGGCTCATCTTCCAAGTACATGCCTGCCCTCCTCGCAGCATCTTCCTGCTCGCCTTCTGTGGCTTCTCTGCATAAGCGTTTCACTACTGCACACTCAACCTTCAGGCGGTCCGAGACACGGCTTTTCCCGACCATCCTACTATCCTGATTATCTACTCTCCAACCCAAGATTCTAAGCGTAAGGGCGCCTGCAACTTCAATGGCCCTCTCCGATATGTCTCTGCCCCTACAGGTCTCCGCTTCTACACGGACGTGCCCCTTCCGTGGGTTTTGGGGGTTTTTTCCAGGACCATTGGGTTGCCGGGCCGTGGCCGCTACTTTCTACCGGAGCATCTCCTCTGCCCTACACGAGATATTCCCAGTGGTCGTGGCCTGCGCGCGGCGGAATCACACCTGGCAGAGAAAGAGGATCTCCGTCATGCGTGATAATCTCGACTTCCAGGAGTTCCGACGCCTCTGCCCTTCTGCCAACCCATCACCATGCCAGATCCCCTGCATGGAATCCCTCGCCCTGGACTAGTCCCTCCGTCTCTTCACCTCCTCATCTCCTCCGCTGCATCCTTCATGAAGATGGGTCTCTCACCTTCCACACTGAATCATACAGTTTCGCGTGGAAAGTCTACTCCAGCTTCTGTCACGCCCACTGCATTCCACTCATTCCGCCCTCTGCTGTCACGATCCATGATGCATTACACTCGCCTCCGCTCTCGGAAAGGAGATCTCAACGGACCGTCATTTCTTACCCCTGATAACCTCCCTATGTCCTCCAACTGGTTCAGAGCCCAACTCAAGTACGTACTGCTGCTTTGTAATCTGTCTCCCCATCTCTACACAGCCCACTCCTCTCGGATAGGCGCCGCCACGCGCGCCGCGTCCCTGGGGCTCCCCCATTCCGCCCTTCAGCAGCTGGGCCGCTGGTCATCATCGGCCCTCTCCTCATACATCAGGCCTGACACTTCTACCATCCTGGCAGCCCAGCGGCTTTTGGCATCTCCATAAAACACTCGCTAAACTCCTGGTGGCGGCTGCAGCTGAGTATCCGCAAGTTTGGTCACAGCAAATAGCGGTCACAGTATATAGTGATAGCGGTCACAGTATATAGCGATAGCGGTCACAGTATATAGCGATAGCGGTCACAGTATATAGCGATAGCGGTCACAGTATATAGCAAAAAATGGTTAGCGCATGATGGTCGTCAGCATATAGCGATAGCGGTCACAGTATATAGCGATAGCGGTCACAGTATATAGCGATAGCGGTCACAGTATATAGCGATAGCGGTCACAGTATATAGCGATAGCGGTCACAGTATATAGCGATAGCGGTCACAGTATATAGCGATAGCGGTCACAGCGCATGATGGTCGTCAGCATATAGCGATAGCGGTCACAGTATATAGCGATAGCGGTCACAGTATATAGCGATAGCGGTCACAGCATAGAGTAGTCTCGTCGTTCTGTCCCCTCCAAACCAGGCTGCAAAAAACTCCATCAACACAGCTTTTTGGGGATTGGCACGCTCCTTCGCATGGAGGCCCTCCGCTCTGAAGGCCGCACCGGGGCCTAGGGCGCCAAAACCTCCTCCTAAATAAAATACTCAAAAGCTTCTTGTTTCACGTCTCTCCAAATTGAAATGCAGCCAGCGAAAGTTCAATTTGGTAGACGTCAGCCAAAGGTAACCCCTCCAGGCCGGTTCTCATCCCCAGCCTATCGCGCTGCAAACGCCCCTTCCAATCACCGCACCGGCCAGGCAAGCCGCTTAAAAGCGGAGAAACTCCCACTCTCTGCCTTCTCGAAGCCTGCAACCACCGCCTCCCCTCCTCCTCCTCTTCACCCTGCCTTCAATCCGCCTTCAACCTGCTTCCCGCTGCCAAAGGCCGCCACCAGTGCCTAGGTCCCGGGGGATTGGCACGCTCCTTCGCATGGAGGCCCTCCGCTCTGAAGGCCGCACCGGGGCCTAGAGCGCCAAAACCTCCTCCTAAATAAAATACTCAAAAGCTTCTTGTTTCACGTCTCTCCAAATTGAAATGTAAAATTGAAGTCTCTGTGCATGTGTTCATTATCTCCTGATTCTCCTCATCTCTCCCTCTGGTCTCTCTCTGGTCTATCTCTGGTCTCGTTGTGGTCTCTCTCTGGTCTATCTCTGGTCTCGTTGTGGTCTCTCTCTGGTTTCTCTCTCAGTCCTCAGTCTTTGATGTCTCTGTCCTCAGTCCTCAGTCTCAGATGTCTGCTCTGTGGTGGACTCCCAATTGGACGTCCTCTCGGCCTTTGTGGAGCAGACCAAACGTTCTCTGATGGACCTTCTAGAGGCCGAGGAGAAGCAGGCTCTGAACCAGGCACACGGCATCCAGGTCCATCTGGAAAACCGGCTTTTGGACCTCAGGAAAACCCAGGTCCAGGTCCAGAGGATCAGCAGGACCAAGAACAGCCTGGACTTCCTGCAGGTACCACACACACCCAGGTCATGGTCCTCTCCCGATGCAGATGGAGTAGCGTCTGCCGTCAGAGCTCTCATGGTGTGTGTGCTGCAGAGGGAGCAGCGTCTGCCCTCAGAGCTCTCATGGTGTGTGTGTTGCAGGAATACTGTGAGTGGAGGCAGCAGGCCCTGGACACGTCTCTCCCCAGTGTCTGCATTGAGCTCAAAGATACTTCAAAGTTTTTTGCAAAAATTATCACAGAATCAACGGAGAAACTGTGTGTTGCCATGACAACGGAGTTTACAGATCGGCTCCATAAGGCCTGCACCCATGGTGAGTAAGAGAGGGGGAAGAGAGGAGAGAGAGACAAGAGAGGAGAGAGAGAGAGGAGAGGGCAGTTTGAATAGACAGTGACAGAACACGCCTGCTCCGATAGTCCGTGTTGATGGTTCGAGCAGATGTTGGTCTCAGCTCATGGACCTAATAAAAATAGAGCCATGTTTACATTAAACCAGAGGATTATTCCCCACTCATCAGGAATCCCAGCAACTGGGACCAGAAACACCACTCTGGGACCACTCACATACTTTACACTAGTCTTATTTCAGAACAATTCCAGGCAGATTTTCCCTGGTCTCTCTCTGGTCTCTCTCTCTTGTGTCTCTTTGGTCTCCATCTGGTGTCTCTCTGGTCTCCATCTGGTCTCTCTCTCTGATCTCTCTCTGGTCTCTCTCTCTGGTCTCTCTCTCTGGTCTTTCTCTCTGGTCTCCCTCTTGTCTCCCTCTGGTGTCAGAAGTGCAGGGAGAGTGTAGAATTTAGAGTGTGGGTTTCACACAGAAGTGTTCTGTGGAGGGTGAACATCAGAGGACAAACCATGAGAGTACCATGTGTTTACAACAGACACACACACATGTACACACACACACAAAGAATAGTATGGCATGTGTTGTTGGTAGTTTTCTAATCTCTTGTTTCTGTTTCAGAACCTGCTTTAGGCATAAAGACCACAGTCCAGAAGATCAACGCAGCACAACGCAACAAGAGGCTTCCAGACCCACAGACCAGGAAGGACCTACTGAAGTGTGAGGACCAGGAAGACCAGATAGGAACCAGGGAGACCAGAGAGACCAAAAAGAGAGGCCAGAGAGAGAGAGAGACCAGAGGGAAACCAGAGAGAGACCAGAAAGAGGCCAGAGAAAGACCAGAGGGACCAGAGAGAGAGACCAGAGGCACCAGAGAGAGACACCGGAGAGAGACCAAAGGGACCAAAGAGAGAGAGAGAGATCAGAGGGACCAGAGAGAGAGACCAAAGGGACCAGAGAGAGAGGTGGGAGAGAGAGACCAGAGGGACCAGAGAGAGAGACCAGAGAGAAACCAGAGAAAGAGAGACCATTTATTTCGTCTTTCCTCAGATGGGAAGCAGCTGTCATTTGATGGTACCTCTTCTCATAAGTTCCTGCGTCTGACGGAGGAAGGTCGTAAGGTGACGAACACTACGCCCTGGCAGCACCCGTACCCCGACCACGACCTGCGCTTCGACCACTGGCGGCAGGTTCTGTGCACCGAGTCCGTCTACCTGGACCGGGTCTACTACGAACTGGACTTCAACGGAGATGGGACCCACCTGGGACTGGCCTACAAGAGCCTGCCCCGCAAAGGAGCTGAGGCCGAGGGCTGCCTCTGCTCCAACAATGGGTCCTGGTAAGAGACCAGAGAGAGACCAGAGAGAGACCAGAGAGAGACCAGAGAGAGACCAGAGAGAGACCAGAGAGAGACCAGAGAGAGACCAGAGAGAGACCAGAGAGAGACCAGAGAGAGACCAGAGAGAGACTAGATAGTGACCAGTTAACCTGCCTTTCCCTGCCTCAGGTGTCTTCAGTGGACCGGTAAGTCCTTCTCTGCGTGGCACGATGATGAGGAGGTGATCCTGCCGGTGACCCCCGGGCCGCGGTTCTCCCGGATGGGCGTGTACGTGGACCACACAGGGGGGCTGCTGCGCTTCTACGGCCTGCGCCCTTCCCCCGTGGACGATGACGCACAGATCTGCCTTGTACATGAGTTCACGGCTCAGTTCCGGGAGCCGCTTTATCCTGCCTTCTTCCTGCCCAAGAAGGAGAACGCGGTGATGCTGGTGCCACCAGGAGAACCGGTGAAGAGCCCCACCCCGCCTACCTCCTCCAACAATAACGAGAATGCTAACAACAACAATGGGAATGCTAACAACAACAATGAGAAAACTACCTCACCTCTGAACGGTGATTCTAAAACTGTAACTAGTGAAACTGCTCAAAATGTCAACGCTAAAAATGCTAAAAGTGAGGTGGCTGAAGAGGCAAAAGCTAATAGCGACGGCAATGCTAACAAATGGAATGCTAACCCTACTGAAAACAGGGATTCAAATACACCAACGAAAGAAACTGCTCCAAATGCTAACGCTAATAACAGCAGCAATGCTAAAAGCGACATAGCAGATATTGGGTAACAGTAAAATCTAGATTAGAAACGGTTCACTGACTTCGTTGACAAAAACGTTTTGATTTTAAAAGTGTTTATTTACTAGATAGATACTTTACTGACATAAAACACGGAGCGACAGAAGTCTTGAGTCACATCTGGGGATTTGTCCTTAGCACAAACGTTCGTATATGACTTTAATCCAATTACTTCAGGTAACCGATAAAAACACAAAAAATTGTGATGCTAACTGCAGATGGACCAGGATTCTAGTGAGAATGCTAATTCTCATACTGGGACAACCATAGACATAAAGAGTATGAGCATTACTTCCTACTGACACTGACGAGCCTTGGGCCCACCATCTTGGACAGGTAAGTAAGTAAGTAAGTAAGTAAGCTTTATTTATATACCGCCTTTCACAGACCAGAGTCACAAAGCGGGTTACAATTGTTATTTTTTTTGGGCACTTGTCTCTCACTCCACACAGAGATGGGAGCGGGGTCGCCGAACAGGAGGCGCATGCCAGAACTATTGCACATATTTTTAGTGGTAGGGGAAACCGGAGTACCCGGAGGAAACCTACGCAGACACGGGGAGAACATGCAAACTCCACTCAGAAAGGCCCTGGTCCGGCCGGGATTCGAACCCAGGACCTTCTTGCTGAGAGGCGAGAGTGCTATCCACTCAGCCACCGTGCCGCCGAATACACCCGCTACATTCGGCGGCACCCGCTACACTCAGTGTCATCTGTTTGGCAGTGCAGTGATGTGTCAGTGAATCTAATCAATCATAACTCGCTGAATACTTGATTTCCACGCATTGTTTTTGCTGTAAACGTCACACATGTAGCTATGATACAGGACATTAATTCTATATTACTTAATATTTGTAGTGGGCTTAACCAAATTGAATATTCTGATATATGATATGTAGTGTATGATAGGTATTTTGTGAGTCTAAACAGAAAAAGTGACTTTCGGGTGAAATTTAGGTAAAATTGTGCAACAATTACTGAAACACTAAAGAGTTTGACATGTGCATTCAAAAGTTTAGAGAAAGTGCTGCTGCGGCCGGCCCCAGTAGCCAATGCGTCGTCTACTCCTTGTCTATGGGTCAGCACTAGATCATATACGGAATCGGGACGGAAGCAGAACTAAATATAACAAACTACCTATTCATGCCTAAACTTAACCAGCCATTCCCATAAAATAATCCCAACCCACCCTTAACCCTAACCTTAACCATCTTACTCAGACACCTATAACTTAACCAGTCACCATTTATGGACTTATGGGCTCTATGCACGCACCACTTCCACGTTTAACCCCACTTGACTTCCTGTGCGCGGGGAACGGTTCAGCAGATGTTTACATGAGTTTACTAAATATTGCTCAAACGGAAATTAAACTGTGGATACTGTTTATTTTTGGGACACAGCAGTGCTTTTTGATTGTGCTGTCATCGTGCTTTTATAAAGTTAACTAATCTCTCTGAGTGGCCACAATCAAAGCTATTCCTCAGAGAGAAAGCACAGCAACACTTTTGGGTCTGTCTCACAGCTGAACATATCAATCTAATTACTAAAAAACGTCACTAAAACTCACCTAAAAGCCATAGCGATAGCATAGACAGGAAGTGAACGGGCTGGTCTTTGTTAACAGGAAATAACATCACACCTCCCCGTGCATATAGCCCATTAGTCTTGTCACTCCCGTATTCGTCCCGGAAACCGGATTCGTCCGGAAGTTCAGTTTGATCCAATGAGCATACGCAGCAGTAGATTACGTCATGGAATCTGGACGAAAGCGGAGGTAAATATAAAAAACTACCTATTCATGCCTAAACTTAACCAGCCATTCCCATAAAATAACCCCAACCCAGCCTCAACCCTAAACTTAACCATCTTAATCAGACGCCTAAACTTAACCAGTCACCACTTAAGGACATATTAAACTTTTTGACATGCGCAAACTGAACTTCCGGACGAATCCGGTTTCCCGGACGAATACGGGAGTGACAAGTCTAAAACTAAGTAGGATTGTTACTTCTGTTACTTCGTCCCGATTCTGTATATGATCTAGTGCCGACCCTTGTCTATGGGGACAACACAGTGGGGGCGGGTCCCGGCTCAAAGAGGTCCATGAGCATGTGCGCTGACATGCTCGCAATACCACTCCTAGCCAGTGGGGGTGTACCCAGAATAAGAATTAGCCAATGCTTTTGTAAGGCCTCTCCTTTCCTCTCGAAAACAGCTTTTCAGGATGGTTCAAAAGTTGGCTCTTGGCCCAACACTACGTTTCAAATGTGTGTCAATGCTGAGGAAGGATGTTTTTGGACCAGTCTAATTTAGCCGCTGTGGACTTCAGAATGCCCTCGTTAAATGAAAGGAGGTAGTGCCGGTGTTCTGCCGAGTTGTGCCGCTCTGCCAAAAAGTGACGCTTATGTAATGCTCAGCTGTTAATGATGTAATGCAAACCTGCGCGTCTCACGGCAACCAAAGCATACCAAGATGGCGGACCGTGAATTGCTTTAAAAGTTGAAATACGAACGAATAAAGACACGAATGTCACTTTTAATGCAATTTGAGGCGAGATGTTGATGGTTCCGTTTTGTCACATGTGGGTTTTAAGAGTCAAAGTTTTGTGCAAAGTTTAGTTTAAGCAGTCAACTGCGCCTGTGAAACCACAAAGCTAATGTTTTCATAGCAGTCCGCGGCTGCTGACGTAGGCTGATGACGCGTCCTGTGGCCACTCTACACTCTTACACTGGTCTGTCGGGTTGATAATGGAAAATGGGGAAAAAAATCAATCTAATTAAATATTTTGTTTGAACACACTATTGTTAATCATATTAAATACAGTACGATACATGTATTGAATGAAATTTATTATTTCCATTATCAACCCGACAGACCAGTGTAAGAGTGTAGAGTGGCCACAGGACGCGTCATCAGCCTACGTCAGCAGCCGCGGACTGCTATGAAAACATTAGCTTTGTGGTTTCACAGGCGCAGTTGACTGCTTAAACTAAACTTTGCACAAAGTCTTTATTCGTTCGTATTTCAACTTTTAAAGCAATTCACGGTCCGCCATCTTGGTATGCTTTGGTTGCCGTGAGACGCGCATGCGCGCAGGTTTGCATTACATCATTAACAGCTGAGCATTACATAAGCGTCACTTTTTGGCAGAGCGGCACAACTCGGCAGAACACCGGTGTTCTGTCGAGTTGTCTGCCCGTCGAGATGATCTGGCTCAGCTGTTAATGATGTAATGCAAACCAGCGCTGCGCGTCTCACGGCAGCCAAAGCTATCCAAGATGGCGGACATGTAGCCCCCGAATTGCTTTAAAGTTAAATACGAACGAATTAAGACACAAATGTCACTTTTAATGCAATTTGAGGCGAGATGTTGATGTTTCCGCGTTGTGATATGTGTGTTTTTAGAGTAAGAGTTTCGTGTAAAGTTTGTTTTAAGCAGTCCACCGATCTTGTGAAACTACACTGCCCAAATCTGACTTGCGCATGCGCAGAAACCCGCCAGAATGGGGAAAAAACTTGATCTAATTAAATATTTCGTTTGAACACACTAATATAATCATATTGAATACAGTATGATACATGCATAAAATTTAATTTATTATTTCCATTATCAACCCAACAGACCAGTCACAGGACGCGTCATGGGCCTGACAGGGCTTTCACACCGCCAACGCTGAAACGCTGAAGCCCCGCTCACCAGACGCGCATTCTCTAGTTTTCAGACGCAGGGGTCTTCAGACCAGAACGTCCTGACGCGAGCCGGAAGTACCGGAAGTAGCCGGCCGGCTCTAATGCTAACAGAGCTATGCTAGCGGCTTCTAGTGTACAGATCTTCTCCAATATGCAGCTTTGCAGCGTGTCTTTGCTCACAGACATTCCACAGGCTTTATATAACAGTAGTATGTGTTCACAGAGGTGCGCCATACGTTATTTCATATTATTAAACGGAATTTCCGCATCAGCGAACTCACTCAAAGCAGTTGCATAAGGTCACGGGAGCATGACAACGCATGTATTCACAAGCACACAGTCCCCCATTGTCAACCCAGGTTTGAGTTCTGGTGAAGCCTGGTGTGAGTCCTGTTTTGGCTGTTTACGAGTATTTTCAGTCTGCTCGCTCAGTCCGCTAATGTCCCCGTGATCACTTTGCTGCTCTCTGATTGGTTGTTGCACGAACGTCCCAAGGAAAGGATGAGCAGAATCCATCTCCTGTGGGCGTCGATTTTTCGCTCCTACTCCTCCCTTTTCACTTTCCCGTTCTACCCAGTGGGGGAGGGTCCCAGCTCAAAAGTGGCCAAAATGACGTGCGCTGACATGCTTGCAATACCACCCCGGGCCGATGGGGGTGGACCCAGAAGAAGAATTAGCCAATGCTAACATATAGCGTTGGCAGACCTCTCAAAAACGTCTTTACAGGATGGACCAAAAGTTGGCTCTTGGCCCAAAGCTCCGTTCCACATGTGTGTCAATGCTGAGGGGGGTGAATATTTTTGGTCCACTCTAGTTTACTTGCGGGGAATTTTTGAAGTCTCTCGTTCAAATGAATGGAGCTGCGCCGGCTGACGCATGCGCAGATACGTTTTTTTCACAATTTTCTTGTGGGCGGGACCACTCGCGGCCATTTTGGATTGCTCCATGAAAGCACTTTTCATGGCCAACTCAAGCCCCGGCGATCCAAGATGGCGCCCTATTCAAATGAATGGTTGTGCTCAGTGGCGCTTTGTGACGGCATGGGGGCTGAAAGATTAGCGGAAGTCGCCTGGAACTCGCAAAGATTTATGGGAAACTCGCCTGAATTTGGGCATCGTCTGGTCCTCCCGGTTCTGCGCAGTGGATGATCTCCCATAATGCGTTGCGCCAAACACGCGTGTGTGGGTCTCACACCGGGTCTCACGCACGTGCACAGAGGGGCTCGGCCGCGCTCTGACCAATCAGAGCAGTTCATCAGAGCGGGAGTTAGAGCGAGAGCCAGACGAGCAGAGTTTGTGGCACTAAAGTGTGGATTTAAACAAAACCGAAGGATTTAAGAAGAAAAAAAGTTCAGGATGACAAAGGACACTAAAATCCCCACAAAATCCGACCGTTATGGTCGGATTTTGCTGTAGGTTCTCTGTCAGCTGAGGTTGAGCTGTTTTAATATGCATTGAGTTCTATGGGGAAAATTTCTGGGTAGCCCACGTGAATTTAGTCTGGTTCAGTCTGCAGTACCGCGAGAATCCCCTGAGCACAGCTACAAGCTAGTAATACCCTATCCAGTTATCATGATAGATCCATGGGCCAACTCCTATATCACGCCTATCTCCTGACTCTGTCCGTTAATATATACAGTCTATGGTTCTACTGTTCTACTGAACAGTCCGTTCGTGCGAACCGAGCGGTCTGTGCGTTGCGACGGCCGAACGCGCGTCAACATAGACTTTGCATTGAAACCCGACGCAACGCATGATCAGGTTTGAAAGCAACATACACCGGCTAACGCATGAGCAAATGCGTTTTTTCACACTTTTTCCTTCCCCGGGGTCATTTGAAAAAGCCCATTGAAGGCAAAAGTTATGGCACTTTAGTTTCAACAGCGGAGATAGGCGTGACTATGTCGGTTAATAATTACAGTCTATAGGACAACAGCGGCAATGCTAGCAGCAGCAATGCTTAAAGGGAACATGCTAACAGTGCAAACAGCGGCATTGCTGGCAGCAGTGATGCCAGTGTTAACACTGTTAAATATTATAAAATGATGAAACAAAAATGTTAATGCTAACAGATGGTTGCAACCTCCTCCGCAGAGTGCTGAAACCATAGACTGTAATGTTGAAACTCAAGCTAAAACGCTGTTTACTCCCATCGATCGCACAGTGACACACTGTTCAAATACTTTTGATAAAACAGAGCTAACAGCTACCTACATAAAGAGAGCAGCGTTGTTAGAAATGTTTTTAATCATTTTATTTCTTTAAAAAGCTGCAGAAATTACGTATTTTTTTATTACTGTTTAAACAACGAGGTCAAAATTAAACTACTTCTTCTAATATAATAAAACTAATATATGCAGTCTTTAACAAGTTGAACCCATAATCATATTAAATATAAGTCGTGCCGATCAGTATTAAGGTCATAAAACTAACCACATCTTTGTGTTTGCGTGTGTGTTTGTAGATTTTTACTGTGTTTGTAGATTGTTTGTGTTAATATTTGTAGATTGTTTGTGTGTGTTTGTAGAATTGTTTGTGTGTGTATTTGTAGATTGTTTGTATATGTTTGTGGTGTGACACTCACTGGGCCTCACGTTGGGAAACACTGGTCTAACATATGGTGAAACTTGAAGCAGAATCTTCTGAAAGTGTTTTTGAAAAGAGACTTTAATGATCACAACTCAAACTTATGGTGCAAGTTATGGGCTTGCGGTCACTTTACTGTGGTGTATACTCAGTGGTTCTCAGGTTTATTACACTGTAATCATGTCTGATAAAACAAAATGTGCCAAATGTCTTCTACACTGAACTGTTACGGCTGCTGCTACTGAATAAAACTCCTACTCTCTCTGGCCTCAGTTTAAACTTTCATGTGTTTGAAATAGGAGTCCTCTAAGATGAATTCTGTTGTGATATAGGGCTATATAAGAATAAATTGTATTGTATTGTATTGTAATATTGACGTGTATATATAATTTATATATATATATATATATATATATATATATATATATATATATATATATATATATATATATATATATGACACTCTCGTTGTGTGCTCTTAAGAAAGGGACTACTTAAACTGCAGACACACGCAAACACATGCGCACACACAGACAACTGTTGTTCTGGTTATGTTGTTATGGAGACGGATCAGGCGGAGTGATATGGAACCATAGACTGTATATATGAATGGAACCCGTGGTTTAGCATGAGTTTTAAACCGTGTCAATCACTGATAATGTGATAGAATCTTTTCTGACGGAGGGATAAAACAATACGCACATTTAACACACATGCAGAAACTTTACAAAAAGATCAAACAAACAAAATCAAAATCTGTGACGTAACCGGAACTGTGACGTTTCCACAGACCCGGAAGTGGCGGCTTGACTGTCATCATGTTGACGGACGTAAGTGGATCAAAGTCACACTTTTACCCTTTTCCTCGCGTTTCCCGGTATTCATAATGATTTCAAAGGATTTTGGTGTTGGTTCGGAGACTGTCACGTTCCCTGCGTTTGTCAACATTTCTAAAATCGAGTTTTAATTCCATTGTTTGCTGTCAGTGCTAACACGGCTAATGCTAATAGCTGCAGCTCGTCATAATCTGCCGTTTAAGGACATTTTTCTTTAATATGTTTTTTGTTTCGTTAGTGACTGTGTGTGAGAGTCTGGAGCCGTGTTTATCCAAGCTACAGTTCCACCATAACTTTAAATACAAGGAAAGATCAGCGAGAAAAGTCTTCGGCTACAATCTGACGTGTCGACAAATATGCCCAACATGTTCATTGACATGTACTGTCCCAGTTAAATAAATAAATATACACAAATATAAATACAAACCAGAGAGAGAGAGACCAGCCACCATCAATGTTATTGCAACATGAGCTTGTGTGATACGATGTAGCTAGTTAGTATTGTAGCTTAGAAGCCACAGCTGCCCTGGGGAATTAGACGGTAGTATTCACTCGTGTGAGAGTAACATGTGTGTTTCTGATTCATCATTCTGAAGTTTGTACTGCTACTTCCTCCAGTCTTTCCCAGGGTAGGTGTGGGGCAGAGGTTTAGATACTTACTACATGTATGGTTGTGCTATACAAATAAAGCTGCCTCCCTTCCCTCTAGTGTTCTGACCCTGAAGTCTCTGTTTCAGAACGACGAAGACGTGTCGCTTTTTGACGCAGAGGAGGATTCTGGGAAACGCAGTCTGAAAGGGGGAGGAGTCAAGTGAGTGACGAGTGTTGTGTGTGGCCCATGGATCTATTATAATAACTGGATAGGGTATTACTAGCTTGTAGCTGAATAACTCATGTGCTCGGGGGATTCTCGCGGTACTGCAGACTAAACCAGACTAAATTCACGTGGGCTACCCATCTTGTTTTAAAACTTCCGACACCGGTAAATGGACATTACCTTTGGGTTCAGTGACAGGTGGAATTGTATTTGGGCATTTTCAAAATCGGTGTTATGACTTCGAAGGCCTTGTGGAAGAAGCCTTCCCTTGAGGAGATGACCACATGCCCCAACGAACAGCCTCCTAAGCACTTGCTGGCATTTTAATATTTTATATATTCCAAACAGGAGCAGAAAGACGAGATCCGGGCGTCTGCTTGTGGATGGCTTGGTGGAGTTGGGTCTGCTCTCGCAACCAGTGGCTCCTGAGGGGATGATGAGTAGTATTGTGCCTTCGGCGGACCCAAAGGGGAGTGAGGAACTGGGACCTTCAGATGGTTCCCCATGGGCAAGGACAGAGCGGGCGCGGGGGTGATGAACCGCCTAAAACTCACTGTACACCCTTCCCCGGTGAATGACCCACATCTCCTCCACCTACTCCTCGGTCCTGGATTGCTGCCCGACTCGCTGTGCGCCTGGCCCGCATATTACATGGAAGCTGAGCAGACGGAACGGGAGACCGCCGGACAGTGCGAGCTCGAATTCCGGAGCGCAAGCTCGAGTTAGAGGCTGACCAAGACGTCAACTGCGCGCTTGAGTGGAGGTGACGGTCTCCTCCCACCCAGTTACTCGGCCCTGGGACCACCGCGAGGCTGCCTCCCTCCCCATCCGTTCACGGCGGCCGCCCTCGATGTAAGTAAATTTTATTACCTTGTACCCCCTTCGGAGAGGGAGAAGTGGGCTTATCTTTTGCTGCATCTCGCGCGCATCGCCTCGGCCTTAAATGGCCACGCGTATTTGGCCCTCTTTTGTCAATGTAAAATGTACGGAACGCCCAAGAAATCCTTGCAGCCATGCCTCTTGCTGCAGTCCAGTCGGTACGAAGCAGCAAGGAGCGCCACTGCTCTGGCTTCAGCAGGGGGACCACATCAGGCCCTTGCAGGATTTGGTTCCTGTCGTGTAGTGTGTTATGCTGGTAACCTTTGTCATTGGTCCCAGTTCATGCAGGTAAATCACCAGGCCCCCCCGTTGGTTCTGGGATTTTTGATCACTGTTTCATGAACATTTTGACCCACACAATGAGATCTTGCGTGGAGCCCCAGACCGAGAATATAAGTGGTTCTGTATGTCTTCATTTTCTGATAATTGTCCACAGTTGATTTGTTCACATCAAGTGCTTTGTTATTGTAGATTCCTCTTCCCGTTGGTGGTCTAACAAATTCTTTATGGCATCTTTTAAATGCCATTTGTTGTCATGTCGTTTTCAACGCCACGTTTGTGTACATGCATGATCAGCTCCGGCAGCAAGCAGCAAGCGCACGCACACACACGCAACTACGAACCCCAAAAGAGGAAACAGAAGTCTGTTTCTGCAATTTCAACAATGTGATGTGAACAGACAAATGTGTTGGAGCCCTGAATTTAGAGAAAGAACTAATAAAGAGAGTATGACTACTAAATCTTTTACAGTCATATTACACGAAAATTGTCAGACCAATGTTATGGCCTTAAAGGGGTTAATATGTAAAACTGTATTTTTCCTTGTTCAAATACTGGTTGTTATGCGAGCAGTGATTCATGAGAAGAGCTTTGGGATCTGCAACGGCCCACACATATTCACTACGGGCTGAGAAAAGTCTTCGGCCAAATAGTCTATATTGTGAGGGCTACCTTTGAGTACCTCTATGGAACTGAGGACACAGGACTGTCGCCGAGTCCCCGGCCCTGGTTGGCCTTGTCCATGAAGGAGCTGCAGCTTGTTTTTGAAGCAGAGTGTGACAGGGGGGCTACTGTAACCGTCCAAATACAGGTGTAAATGAAGAGTGTTCTGCTCCTGTTCTCACATGTGCCTAAGGTAAAGACGGTAAACGAGCCATGTTCTACCCTTTGCTTCAGAAAGTTGTCCTAGTGGAAAATATAATGGAATGAGTCTCTGGTCTCTCTCTGGTCTGTCTCTGGTCTCTCTCTCTGGTATCTCTCTGGTCTGTGTGCACTGTACTGCATGGTGATTGGCTTGGGTTGTGGATGCAATCATAATCAGGTGCGTGTTCCGTGCGCGTACATGCGTCTCGGCCTGGGTGTGTGACCTGAGCCGCTCTTATTCTGAAACATTTTAATTTGAAACTACTTCCGGCGCAACCAGCGTTTCCGCCTGACTGCTGCGCTTCATTGTCATGTATCACGCACGGACCCGTCTGCCTCGAACTCTGAGCAACTTTGAGCAAACTTTCTGGAGATTCTGCAGCTTTTGCCCCGATGCCCATCCCGAAAAGGACAGATTGGTGAGTGTTTCGTAGGGATGGGTTTATGATGCCACAAGTTAGTGAGTTAGTTATTTCAAAACATGCACAACACAATGAAAAAATATAAATGATCAAATAAAAAACATGTCACAAGTTTTGAAAAGGGGGTTGGGTGAAGCAGACGCGTATACATTTGCAACCCCCTCTCACGCATACAGCAAATACAAATTACACTTACATTGTACAGTTACAGCATTACTTCAAATTCTCCCTCACACAGACACTGGCCCAAACACTCCCTGACCACACACCTCTGTCCAGGCTCAGGGCATCACTCTCTGTCCTGAGTCCTCCATAATATATTTCTTCAACTTTTTAGATAGTTTTAATTCTTCTTTTAATCCATTCCAAATGTCAGCGCCTCGGACCGAGATACACACAGATTTTAATGTTGTCCCAAATTTAGGTGCATAGAATAGTTTGTTTCCTCTTAATCTGTAAATATGATGAGCATCTCTGTCGCTGAAAACCATAGACTGTATATAATAAACTGAAAACACTTAAATTGGACGGTAGAGTTTTCAGATGCCCTGAACATTATCTGAGCTGTTTTAAGGACGATCAAGTCCTGCAGTTTCAGTTGTTGGTTTAAAACAGGATTAGAAGGAAGTCTGTAGTGGACGTTGGACACAATCATTATAGCCTTTTGTAAGATAATCAGAGGCTGTACGTGAGATTTGTAGCAATTCCCCCACACTTCCACACGATAGTTTAATATGACATTATAAATGAATGACACAATAACATAAGAGCATTGGTGTTGATTACGTGACTTGATCTCTTCATTATTCCCACACACTTAGCAACTTTTGTCCTCAAGGAACTTATGTGAGATTTCCAAGTCAGATCTTCATCCATTATTACTCCCAAAAATAAATTTTGTTGAACTGTGTCAATCGGTGTGTCATCAATTATAATTCTAACTGGTATTTTACTTTTACATTTACTTAAAAGCATAATTTTTGGTCTTTTTTTAGGTTAGTCAATTTGTTATTATTTAATCATATTTTTTTATCCGTTCAACTCTGTTACAAGGGATAGTTGTGCAAAATACAGAAATTATCTATTGAATAATATTCAGAGTAAACGTTTGAAGTAATATTTAGTGTGTTAATTCAGTCATATGATTTTTTTATTTTTATTGAGAACCATAGTTTTTGAGGAGTCTTTGCTCCAAGGCAGTTTCTCCTCTTGGACACTAGTTCCCTGGTCTTAGAAAACACTAGTTAGATAGAGGGACATCAGAAAAATTCTTGAACAGGCCCGCAGCATGTTGACACAGTTCGCTTCATTATAAACACAATTTGGCGCAGCACATCCAAACGACACAGTTCCTGTATTGGTCACGTGTTTTTATGCGTATCAGTGCGATACACTCACAGATACGATGTTTCACACTTGAGTACTCGGCACAGCGCCCGGCCAGTATTGGGCCCGAACCCCCCCCCAGCAGGGGGGGTTCACTTCCTCAACATTATCCTCCTTAGGCCGCTGCAAAGCCTGAGGAGCGGCTGCAGAGAAGCTCTGCTGTGATTGGTCCGTGTTTGTGTTTTGGACCGAAGCACGGAGCGGCTGCAGGAGCATGGACGAGGCACTTTGGAGCAGAGAGCTTCGCGCTTCGAAGGAACCGAAGGAAAAGCAGTTTGGGCTCGTGGCTCAGAGCCTGATATACAGGGAGACTGTGGACTAGAGTTTTGTTGCATATCCAACTTATATAACTTATAAACTGTGCAGTCGTTACTTTTGCTTAGGTCCAGCGCAATGGCAACCGTAACATGCGCCGCGCGAGTGTACACTAGGCTTAGCGGTTTCACCTGGAACACAGTCTCCATGTGAACGGAACATCTAACACTGCCGCAGCGTCACCGTCTAAATGGGGCCTTACCTTGGCTATTTTCATTCTATTTGGAAAGACACCAGTGTGAAATGACAAGTTACAGATGTGCGGTAACGGCTCAATAATTCCCTCAATCAGGTATTTTAACAAGAGTAATGTCGATGTCCTTATCAGTATATTTTTTGTTTTGACAATGTCAAGAATTTCTTTTTCCTCCTCTTGTTTAAGAAACATTGTGTGGGGATTTTTTCCTATAAACACATCCATTTTTTTACCAGCTCCCCCTGGATCAGGTATTCTATTTGCCAGGTCAGGCCCAACACGGACAAAACAATTATTTTATCCGCCACATCACACGTGTTACCCATTATATTTTCTTTATCCATAAAGTATTCAGGATTCTCACTTTGCTTCAAGACACTTTTTATAATACGGTTTAATGTATCCAACATTCCTTTGATATTGTTTTTGTTACCCATTTTTTTCCTGAAATAATCTTTTTTGCTCATTCTTATAATGATAAGTTGACACATTCTATCTTTTATATCTATTTTCAGGCTCAGTGGTTCTTTGTCTTATGAGCTCTGTACAAAGTATTATTTTGCAGGCATTTTGTAACCCTTTTGTTATCCTTGAACAGTTGATGTATTTTAGTTTTTTTTGTGTATTGTTTGGACAGTTTTTATTATCCAATCGTTTTGATACATTATGTAATGGAGCAGAGTCCATTACTCGGTGTTCATAGGTGTGGGAATTAGACAGACGTCTATCTGTTATCAGTACTACTGTGTTATTTCATATCTGATAATTCTGCCTTTCAAGTCACTTTACCTGTTGATATTATTTCTGATGTTTATTCTGCTCATATTCATATTCTCATATTCTCCGCTGCTAATGTATAATATAGACATCTGTAAATACTCCGAACCAATTATAGCCCAGAGTTTATCTTATCTTATTTTATTTTATCTTAAATTTATTGTCTATTATCTTAAATAATAGACTTTGATGTGTGCGTCTGAGTGCTCTTATTTCCTCTCTCTGCTGTAATGTGCGCAATGATGACACTGAAATTTCTCCACTATGAGACTAATAAAGGTTTATCTTATCTTATCTTATATTTATTAAAAATGGATTTATGCAAAGGTACAGACCTGTAAAGGAAAGGGGCGTGAGTGCAGGAAATTAAGTAAATAAGTAAAGTACAACATGTAAATATACTGACCTTTTGCTCTCTTGTTTGTCTGCCCTCTTTAAGGTGCTTTCAGACCGCCGACGCTGGAACGCTGACGCCTCACGCACATTCTCTAATTTTCAAACTCAGGGGTCTTCAGACCAGAAGTCCTGGGCTGCGGTGGCGCCCGCCAGATGTGGCAGAAGTAGCGAGCGGACTTTGATGCTATTGAAGTTAAGCTAGCGGCTTTTTGTGTAAAGTTTTTCCCAATTCTGTGCCAGTAATTCACTCTTGAGTGTGTTTACCGACTTCTCTGTCCATAATTGCCTATATTTTAATTTTTTATTTATGATCATAGACAATGAAAACTGGCAGATGATCACTGATGTCATTAATCAGTATAGCACTGGTTTTGTTTTCAGTGTCATTTCTGTATGTGTTGTCTATCAGAGTGGCCCATTTTGATGTGCAGTTACAACCTTATATACATTACATTTTGAGCGCATAAGACGTGTCTGTGTTTGTCATTCACAAATCTCAGACTCCGAGCCGATGAGAGTGAACACCTACAGTAACTATTCCAAATACCAAATATTGGTTACACGTGCTTTGATGACCTGGATCTTGCCGTTGTTGGAGAACTGTATTACATTGTGTTTAAACGTGGTTTTGATAAGTTGTTCTTGAAGCTATTTGGATATATTGTATTTTTGTATACTGTGTGTGGCGGCAGTTTGGACAGAACAGCGGTTATCATTTCAGGCACCAAAACTAATCCTAGTCAATTCTTTCCTTTTATGTAGCTTACCTAAAAGTTGCTTGGCTCTGCACTCATGGAGGAGGAGATGCAGCAGCTCAGGGAGCATAAGGCGGACAACAAGCGACTTCTTTGCACCACTTGGAGGGGGAGCTATAAACCAACCTCTACATAGGTTGGTGGCCTCCTCCCGCGGACGGTGAGTGTGTGCCTTTCACCGGCAGGTCCAAAACTATAGTTTAGTTTTCAATTACGGTGTTTAAATTTGTGCCTTTTCTTCAGGCTCTACTCTACGTTCTGTCCAAAAGGAGCCGCTGTTTCGTTACAATACAATTTATTCTTGTATAGGCCTAAATCACAACAGTAATCATCGCAGAGGACTTAATCACTTAATCAACGGCGCCGTAAAGATGGCGCCGTGGCAAGAGCTCTGGTGGGTGTCGTCTGGTGCAGACTGGGGTAGTCTTGCACAGTTTTTCCTATGTGGTTTTACTGCAAATGGCAAATAAATGAATCTGAATCTGAATCAAACCATTGAAATCACCAACACAGCTTGGGGATTTCAATGGTTTGTCCAGCTTTGTCCACCTCTGTCTCACCTACAGAGCATCCGGAAAGTGTTCACAGCGCTTCACTTTTTCCACATTTTATGTTACAGCCTTATTCCAAAATTCCATTTCATTTCATTTAAATCCCTTTATTTTCCATTTCTGGGTCAGGGGGGTGGCAATCAGAACTGCCACCCAATTCACACAGCACCAGTCCCTTGCTGATCTTCCTGCAGGTGGTGGGTCCACGTAGGGCTGGGCGATATGGCAAAAAAAAAAAAATCTCCGATTTTTTCACACCAAATCCGACTTTCGATTTTAATCGATTTATTTTTTTCTATTTAAAAACAAACTACAACTGACAAAGAAATAGATTTTCCTTTATGCAGTTTAATCTAAATCCCCATGGAGCATAAGTGTAACAGGAATTAAGCCTTAAAACATGCTTGTAAACGAGATGGCTCTGCCATTGTAAACAGTGAAAATGTAGCTTAACAGTTTTATAATAACTTCACTTACAATGACACTATGCACCTTCAAAATAACTTAAATCACACAAACAAGGCCCATCGCAAATATATCAATCCTATTAAACACATGCATTATTTACATGAAATATCACATTTTTAAAACTGATTACTCAAAATAGAAATGTTGTAACAGACAGTCTTTTCCAAAAGCCTCCTCGGGTTTTCATGCTTGTTCTTTCAACTGTGCCTTAGGGTTGGGCGATATGGGCCTCAGCATGTATCACGATGTTTGTTGGTATGTATCACGATATGACGATATGATAATTTTAACAGAGCCTCATATAAAAGCTATAAAAACTTAGCACTGATAATTTTAAACACACTTGCCTCAAAGTGCATTTACTGATTTATTGGCAGCAAAATGTGTAATACAGCTATTGTATATAAAACGTATTAACAAAACTGAATTGTAGAGAATTCTGTTTTGTACATACTGAAAATTGCAGGCAACATGTAAAAAAGGTGAACATTTGTAATTTGTAAAATATATAAAAGTTTGTCCTTTGTAATATAAAAAGTGTAGCATTATAAAATAATTATTTGATCACTTTGGCTTATGTTTCCTAATCCCAATATAGTCAAAATGATCAAATACTGTATATATTTTTTGTATCCTTTTGCGTTTCTATAATTATGTAATTATAACTTATTTGTAATTATATTGCAATGTAGACAAACACATGCATTGAAGTAAAATGAATGACAGTAAACAGTAAATAATGCTTACCAATGGCAGAGAGAGAGAGAGAGAGAGAGTGTCCGAAGCAAGCCACTCGAGTCCAGTTGTTTAGGGCAGCTGCTTTCACAACATTAGATCCACTGTCGATAGTTACACACAATTGCTTCTTTTTATCTAGTTCCCAAACTACTCCCATATGTTTGAGGTAGCTCCGCGTTTTGGCACAATGTCTTCTACAATCTGCATGTCTTCACCATGGTCTTCACCGCCGCCCTCAGCCATGTTTGCTCTCTGTTGTTGTTGTCCCTGCACGCCGCTCTGCTACACGTGCCGTGCAGATGCATCATCAAAGTGCGCCGCACACAAATGTATCTTCCGCTCGCTGTTTTCAGTGTTAAATGATCGTTTTCACCGGTATAAGGCATTTTCTTATCATTTAATTTACTTATACCGGTATACCGGTACAACAAAAATATCGCCCAACCCTACTGTGCCTGAGTAACTGTGCTGTAGTACAACGCTCGGTCCAGCTGGTGGCGCTAATACTAACTTCAGTGACTCCCGCATTGTGCGAGCTTCCTGTTTACATTCTGATGCTGTAGCTAACAGCTACTGTAGCAGCTACTGTAGCTAACAGACAGCGGGGAACACGTTGTTTGTATCAGAGCAATGAGAGCAATGTGTGAGACGTGTCTTTCCCCAAAGTGCAGCGGCTCAGTGGGACACGAGTGTGTGCGCGCCACGGACACGGGAGTGCGCTTTGGAATAACGAGCGTGAGAGAGCGTGAAAGATGTGGCGTACGAACACGGCGTACGAACATAGCGACCGGAGCCTGCGTGCGTGTGTGTGTGTTCTGGCGATTTAAATAAAGTCTGATTCTTGAACGTTTGAAGTGTTATTGCAACAGCACCAACTGTGAGAGCGAGCATCAGGCCAGAGGGAGACTGTTAGCATTAGGTTAGCTTCAAAATGACTGCTCAACACCATAGACTCGCGGTTAGCGCGTTAGCGCTGTAGTTCTGCGCTGGAGAAAATAAAAATCGAATTTTAAAAAAAAGAAATCGCCCTAAACGTAAAACTCGAATTAATGATTAAAATCGATTAATCGCCCAGCCCTAGGTCCACGGGAAGATGGCTGCTCCTTCGACACAGATGCAGCCTTGGTCTTTCAGCGGGGACTTCAGGCACATTGGGGTTAAGTGTCTTGCCCAGGGACACAACGACAGCAGACATCAGTGGGAGCAGTTGATATTCCAAAATTGATTCAATTATTTTTTTTTCCCTCACAATTCTACACACAACACGCCATAATGACGACATGAAAAAAGTTTGAGATTCTTGCAAATTTATTAAAAATAAAAAAAAGTAAGTACATAAGTACTCACAGCCTTTACTTAATGATTTGTTGATGCACCTTTGGCAGCAATTAAAGCCTCAAGTCTTTTTGACTATGATGCCACAAGCTTGGCACACCTGTCTTTGGGCAGTTTTCCCATTCCTCTTTGCAGCACCTCTCAAGCTCCATCAAGTTGGACGGGTCGTTGTCCTGCTGAAAGATGAACCGTCGCCCCAGTCTGAGGTCAAGAGCGCTCTGGAGCAGGTTTTCATCCAGGATGTCTTTGTGCATTGCTGCATTCATCTTTCCCTCTACTTGACTAGTCTCCCAATTCTTGCCGCTGAAAAACATCCCCACTGCATGATGCTACCACCACCATGCTTCACCGTAGGGATGGTATTGTCTCGGTGATGAGCAGAGGCTGGTTTCCTCCAAACATGGCGCCTGGCATTCACGCCAAAGACTTCAATCTTTGTCTCATCAGACCAGAGAATTTTTTTACTCATGGTCTGAGAGTCTTTCAGGAGCCTTTTGGCCAACTTTATACTAAGGAGCGGCTTCCGTCTGGCCCCTCTACCACACAGGCCTGATTTGTGGATTGCTGCAGAGATGGTTGTCCTTCTGGAAGGTTCTCCTTTCCCCACAGAGGAACGCTGGAGCTCTGACAAAGTGAGCATCGGGTTCTTAGTCACCTCCCTGACTAAGGCCCTTCTCCCCCAATCACTCAGTTTAGAGGGCCGGCCAGCTCTAGGAAGAGTCCTGGTGGTTCCAAACTTCTTCCATTTACGGATGATGGAGGCCACTGTGCTCTTTGGGACCTTCAAAGCAGCAGAAATGTTTCTGTACCCTTCCCCAGACTTGTGTCTCGAGACAATCTTGTTTCGGGGGTCTACAGACAATTCCTTTGACTTCATGCTTGGTTTGGGCTCTGACATGCACTGTCAACTGTGGGACCTTATATATACAGGTGTGTTTCCAAATCAAGTCAAATCAACTGAATGTACCACAGGTGGACTCTAATGAAGCAGTAGAAGCATCTCAAGGATGATCTGTGGAAACAGGATGCACCTGAGCTCCATTTTGAGCTTCATGGCAAAGGCTGTCAATACTTATGTACATGTGATTTCTTCTTTTCTTTTTTTTTAATACATTTGCAAAAATCTCCAAAAAAAATTGTTTTAACATTGTCATTATGGGATTTTATGTGTAGAATTTAACGGGGAAATAAGGAATAAGGCTGTAACATAACAAAATGTGAAAAAATTGAAGCGCTGTGAATACTTTCCGGATGCACTGTGTATCGGCCATATCAATCAGAAACACATGAGCACGCACACGTGTGGCGTCCTGGCCCCGAACAGGCGGCTTCTTGTTTTTAAAGGGCACGTCCCGCGGCACATTCACACTCACTACCAACCTTTCTTTATGTTCATTTATGTTTCTCCTGATTGAGTTGATCTTGATTTTGTGTTTTATTTTGCAGCAGGGCTATTTCTATTTTATTTTGCTTTATTTGCATGACTTGCTGTTTTTATTTTTGTTCGCATGGTTTTTTCCATATAATTTATTGATTTTTGTCTCCACCATTTATAACAATTTTTAACCATTTTCTCTCATAGGCCTGTAATCTTTTTAATTGTTATTTTCATAAAACTTATTTTTTTAAATTACAGTCTCAGAACTCCTATGTCCACAACTTGTGCGGCCTTTTTATAAATTATGTAGTTGGTCCCTAGACAACCTGGTGTTGTTGGAATTAGTTAAACATCCTTTCCCTCAACCCTCATGTTACATCTGTCTCTCTGGTCCCTGTACTCTTTCTGGTCTCCTTCTGGTCTCTCTCTCTGATCCCTCTACTCTCTGGTCTCTCACAGTGTAGGTGATGGTCTCCTGGGGGTAGTTGAAGAGGGCCCCTGTGGACTTGGAGACGGTGATGTTGAGGAAGACCCACTCGTACTGAGTCCTCATCACCTGCTGAGACCACCGTGTCATCAGAGACCCACTGTGAGACCTCAGCTGGATCTCTCTGTCTGAAAACACACCAGAGTCTCTTTCTTTGTCTCTTTGTGGTCTCTGTATCTGGTGTCTCTCTGGTCTCTGGTTTGGTCTTTCTTTTTCTGGTTTTTGGGAGAGACCTATAACAACACGGTAATTACGGGATTACGTTATATATAATATGTATATAAAGTATATAATGATAAAATGATATATATATATATATATCATTTTATCATTTTATATATATATGTATCATTTTAAGAAATTAAACTACAAAATGAATAATACATCAAAAATTCTAACGAGAAAACATACAGAAAATGTATTTTAACATAAAATGCTTCAAGTTTATACAGCACTTACTGCAGCAGAGGGAGAGCTGGTCTCCCTCTCTCTGGTCTCTCCTTGGTCGCTCTCTCTCTGCTCTATCTTTGATTCATGGTGTGGGACCAAGTGGATCATCCGAAAATCTACTGGACTAAATTAAGCATTTAGCATTTTACTTTGGACTAGAGCAGAGAAAATGGTCCGAAACAAGCGGCTACTCCACCTTTTGACCTGTCCTGCTCCACCCAGAGACTACTACTACATCTCTGCTGCTGCGACCTGAAGGGCTGATTATTACTATTGTTATTTTAGAATGATCAATCTTATTTTTGCTGCTTCTGGACACCTGCATTTCTCCTGTGGGGATCAATAAAGTATCTATCTATCTTCAGTCTCTTTCTGGTCACTCTCTCTTTGATTGGCTCCATGATAAACTGCCCCAAAACAAGTAAGTCATATTTATTTATATTTTTAACAACCCTAAGACAGAAGCGTACAACCGTCACCATCCTCTCATCGTTGTCTTTGGAGCGCTCTCTGTCGGCTCCTGTGCTACACAAAGACAGTTTGGGGCGACAGACAGCCTTTGAGCCAGAGGGTCGTGGGTTCGAGCCCGACTTTCACCATTGACTCCCACTGTCTGCTGCCGTTGTGTCCTTAGGCAAGACCCCGTTGCCTTGTGTGTGTGTGTGTGTGGTGATTGGAGGGGCCAATGGCACATACTGGTTGCCTCGTTTCTGTCAGTGTGCCCCAGGGCAGCTGTGGCTACAGTAGTAGTTTATCACCACCATGTTTGGAGTGAAAGAATAATGACATGTAAAGCGTCTTTTAGTGTCCAAAAAAGCGCTATATAAAACCGATGCATTATTATAGTTTATTTGTATAGCACAGTTCAATACAAGGAAACTGTGTTTGAACATAACAGACATGAGAATCATAGATAATCACAGTGCATTAAAGAGAGTAAAGATATAATCCTTCAGATGTAATAACATTCATGATTGTGTTAAAACTAAAAACTTTTTCATTCTGTGTTGCTCCCAAACTGGTCTGATGGTTTGGACTTGAAGAGCACCTCTACAAGTCCAAACCAGAGGGAGACCTGCCCTGTCCATTCACAGCTGTGTGGAATTCTTTGTTTTGGCCTGGTTGGGTCTCTTGGTGGTCTTTGTTTTGGCCTGGTCGAGTCTCTTGGTGGTCTTTGTTTTGGCCTGGTCGGGTCTCTTGGTGGTCTTTGTTTTGGCCTGGTCGGGTCTCTTGGTGGTCTTTGCTTTGGCCTGGTTGGGTCTCTTGATGGTCTCTGCTTTGGCCTGTGTCGTCTCTGGTTCTCGGCCCTCTCCCTGGTACAGGTGGATGATCCCCTTGTCGTGCAGCGTCTTCCACAGCGCCATCTCCTGGTTGTAATTATGGTTCGCATAGAAGACCACGTGGGTCTTGGCTCCCCGCTCAAAGTAGTAGTTTGAGAACTTCTTGTGGTCTTCAGTGATGAAACCGTAGGCGTCGACCTGAAACAGTTTTGTGAATGTTTTACACCAGTGTCATGCAGCCAACTTCAGCTCCAACAATACATATAAGTGAAGCCTCTTGTGTCAAGCCTCTCTGGTGTCTCTGCTCTCTCTGGTTTCTCTCTTGTCTCTCTCTGCTATCTCTCTCTCGCTCTCTTGTCTCACTCTGGTGTCTCTCTGGTCTCTCTCTCTGGCCTTTCTCTCTCCGGTTTCTCTTTCTGGTCTCTCTTGTCCTTCCTCCCACTCTCCTTGTCAATCTGTCTGTCCTGGTTCCACCTGGTCTCACACCAGTAAAGGAGCAGACGAGAACTGTGTCTCACTTTGTCGCACAGCTGCAGCGCGAGGAAGACCGTGAAGGCTCCGTTTGTGGGTCTGACGATGGCCCAGTGATTGGACTGCAGCGAGGGGGACCTCAGGAACCTGGAGCGACACATGGTTCAGGACCAGAAACATGTTGTAGAATCACACACAGAATAAAAGAGACAAAGACCTGTTCCTGACGAGCCGCAGGAAGTCCATGTGTAGGACGTAGAAGCGTGTCTCGTTGAACTGGTTCGAGTACTGGATCCAGGGCCTGAAACCAGACCAGGACTGGACTTAAGGCCAGGACTGGACTCTCTCTCTCTGTACTATCTTCCTCTCACTTTCTCTCAGCGTGTACTCTCCCTCTCTCTCAATGTGTGTACTCTCTCACCGTCGGCCTTTGTATGGTCCGGTCTCCACTCGCTGGTGTCGGTAGAGTCCGGTGAGCCATTCAAAGTCCCTCATGCCCTCAGGGATCAGCACGTACTTTATCCCCTGGACACAACATCACACACAGACCTGCACTTGTTTTTGGCTCCATCCATGCTCTTCCTCATTTCAAATGTGGTCTCCCTCTCTCTCTCTGGTCTCTCTGTTTTGTGTCAAAACCTAGTGAAATTTTGAAGCATTGGTGTAACAAACAGGCAGTTTGTTACTAAGTACACTTGCACCTTCACTGAGCCACTTTAGTTGCACAAGACACCTTTATAGCACACAGCACTTTAAGCATATAAAAAATACATTTCACAGAGTTGGTTTTAAAATATATTTATTAAACAGGTCTTTTCTTTTTACCACGTTTTTATCCAGAGGTGCTGGTATGTGATTGGCTGCAGTTGGTCCCTGGAGGGAAAAGGTAGACAACAAGTTATTTTAACCAATCCCTAAAATATATGTGCAATAGGTGCATTATCTATTAAAGAATGTTTTAAGTGTTTATGTGTGTGTATTTTATATTAGTTTAGTGAAGGTGTGTAAATGTGTGGTGTGTACTTGGTTGGCACTAGATCATGTACGGAATCCGGACGAAACCGGAAGTAACAGTCCTACTTTCAAATTATTTTTAGACTAATAAGTCCTTTAGTGGTGACTGGTTAAGTTTTAGGTGTCTGAATAAGATGGTTAAGGTGAGGGTTAAGGGTGGGTTGGGGTTATTTTATGGGAATGGCTGGTTAAGTTTAGGCATGAATAGGTAGTTTGTTAGGCGACAGTGGCTCAGTTGGTAGAGCATTGGCCTTTGGGCCTGAAGGTCGTGGGTTCAAGTAAGACCTACTTCACGACTCCCACTGATGACTGCTGTCGTTGTGTCCTTGGGCAAGACACTTAACCCTACTTTGCCCAAAGCCCCAACTGAAAGATCTCAGCTCCTGTGGACTCACCACCTGCAGGAGGATCAGTGAGGGGCTGGTGCTCTGTGGACTGGGTGCAGCTCTGACTGCCACCCCCCCGACCCAGAAATGGATTAAGGGGAAGAAAATGGATGGATGGATGGAGGTAGTTTGTTATATTTACTTCCGCTTCCGTATATGATCTAGTGCTGACCGTGTGTACTTACCTTGTTTGTGTCCAGTAGGCAAAAGGGTCCCACCAGAAACGAGTTCCTCTTTCTTATTTCCGGGCCACAGGACCATTATGGAAATTGTATGGGGGAGTCTGAGCGGGAATTTCAATAGATTAGGGGTTTAACATTACTTGGTGTTGGTTTTAGGGTTTTGTATAAATGGTATGTGGCTTTTAAGATGCGTTATGGGTTTGGGTTTTGTAAAGCTAAGTATATTTTAACACACCTGCTTTTATACCTTGGTTTTACCCAGCAATCTGCACCAGATAAAAGGACATGGGAAACATCAGTCAGGGCTCTGCTGCTGGAGAAGAAGCACTCCATTTGCACAATAGCACTTTATTGGGTGTTTGCACCTTTTGTTTGCATTTTTATTGAAAAGCTATAAAAAATATTTAAAATTAAAGCCGCAAGCGGCGTCAAACGGCCCTCGCCGCACCGCGCAACTAGCTGCACCGCGCGATTACCCGCACCGCGCCACTCCCTGCACCACGCCGCCCCGCGCTACGCCGCATCGCTTATTGAAGGTGGCGCCGCCGCGCAATGATTTGGGCCCGTAGCCATAAAAGAATTCTTGTTATGGGAGTGTTCTGGACCCCAAAGCAGAGACGGAGACAGAGCGAAATTATAAGAGGATTTACTTTACAAAACGAATAAACTTAAAGCAGGCGGTTGAGACAGGGAGCTGGCTGGCTGGTCAGGAAAAGGAGGACCTGAACACAGGACACAAAAAAAAACCATAAGACAAACCGCAAAGCACAAACTCAGACTGTTGCTGTATACAGACGTCTGACATAGTATAATCTGGCAGCGACGTGAAGTTCCAACCAGGTACTTGAAGCCAGGGTGATTATGAGGAACAGGTGTGTGAGCCCACACACACCTGCTGCTGAGCCAGCCACGCCCCCGGTCTCACACATGCCTTTAAAACAACAGAAAGGGAGGGGGGAGGCAGAGCAAAACCCAAACCCAACAATTCTTGTGAAATTGTAATGAATATGATCAGTTGAGTTGGTTTGGCTCCCAATGTGAAACTTTGCCTCAGTCTGTAGGGGGCGCTAATGGGTCAATTTCAAATATTTCACTTTCACAAGACCTAGACCCTGGAGTTGAACAATGTATTAAAGTTTTGTGCAAATCACACTTAGTTTGTCCAAATGGAAGCTATTTTTTGATTGTAAAAAATGGCCAAAAAAAAGTCACATTTTGCCGCTAGGCTGCTCAAACAATGTTTCACTGATCAAAAGGAGGAGTCGCTTTCCAACCGACACGTATGAAAATGATTGCTTTTCATTTTTCCATTTTGCAATGAAATTTATGGGCTTCCTCTTTGTCAAGGGGCGTGGCCATAACAACTTTGTTTCCATGTCTTGACTTGAGGAACATGTGTACCAAATTTCATGGCTCTACGACAATTTTGACCTCGAACCCCTCCCATAGGCGTTTTCAAAATTGGCTTTTGTAGGTGGCGCTAATGAGCCAATTTCAAATTTTTAACTTTCAACTTTTCTGCTCAAACAACATTTCACTGATCCAAAGTCTGTGAAATCAAAATGATGGTACATGTGTTTAGACGATGTGGAGCGATTTTAAGACAAATCGGTGAAACAGCCGAGGAAGAGTAGCTTTCCAACCGACACGTGTGAAAAGGATCATTTTTCATTTTTCCATTTTGAAGTGAAGTTTATGGGCTTCCTGTTTGTCAGGGGGCGGGGCCATAATAACTTTTATTTCATGTCTTGAGATGAGGAACATGTGTACCAAATTTCATGCCGTTATGTCAAACTTGACCTCGAAGCCCTCCCATACTAAAAACTTTGTCCACATCTGTAGGGGGCGCTAATGAGCCAAGTGTAATTATTTCCCTTTCAAATGACCTAGACCCTAGAGTTAAACAATGTATTAAATTTTTTTGTAAATCAGACTTTCTATTTGCAAACGGGAGCAAATTTAATAGTGTCAAAAACAGCCAAAAAAAACCTAACAATTTGCCGCTCCGCTGCTCAAACAACATTTCACTGATCAAAAATCGCCGAAGTTATTTTGAAGGTACATGTGTTGAGATGATGTGGAGCGATTTTGAGGCGAATCAGTGAAATGGCCGAGGAGGAGTCGCTTTCCAACCAACATTTATGAAAACTTTTGCTGTTCATTTTTCCATTTTACAGTAAAATTCATGGGCTTCCTGTTTGTCAGGGGGCGGGGCCATAATAATAATAATTATGTAATAATTTTTTACATGTCTTGACTTGAGGAACATGTGTACCAAATTACATGGCTCGACAATAAACTTGATCTCCGAAAAGTTCCATAGGGGTATTATTTTGGCTGTTTTAGGTGTCGCTGTTTTGGAGTTTTTTGAGTCCCATAAAAATTCACCAGGTCTGATTTTTGGGCAAAATTTTACAACTTTTCATGCATGTTCAGGGGGTCAAATTAAGGCTCAAAGTGCAGAATTTGACATCTCTCGAGCAAAAACAATAGGACCTTTCCCCTTTCGAGGCTCGGGCCTAATAAATAAATAAATTAAAGCCGCAAGTCGAACGGCCATCTTTGCACACTCATTTATCACATTTGTTCATAAAGCAAAACACTCCCTGTTGGACTTCCGGTTATGGCGGCCGAGGAATAGGCGCACGTTTAGTCTGCCCCCGCACTATACTTTTCATTTTTAACCTTTTTGACACCGCAACCCCATTTAGTTACAATGTCTAAACTCAAAGGAAAACCTGAGAAAGAACCCGCTAGCGCTAGCTTAACTTTGAAAGACATCACAGCGCTACTCGAGGAGCATAGAGAAGCCATTTCGTCCGATTTTAAATCATCTTTCCAGACCCTCGCTTCAAAACTGGACGGTGTAGAGGCTGCAGTTAAGGATCAAGGCACACGTACTGTATCACTTCACTGGAGGACAACGCGAACTCGGTTGATAGCCGCCTCACACACATTGAAAACAACTGGTGCGCGTTACAAAAAGAAAATGATTCCCTCAGAGAGAGAGTGGCGGTCCTCGAGAGTCACAGCAGACGTCAAAACATTCGCGTGGTGGGCTTACCTGAAAATTTGGAGGACACACGCCCAACCGTTTTCTTCTCCCAGCTCCTGGTTGATGTATTTGGGCAGAACACTCTCTCCACGTCCCCGAAGATTGACCGAGCCCATCGAACCCTCGCTCCAAAGCCCGCTCCAGGAGCCAGACCCCGTCCTGTGAACATCCGCCTCCACTGCTTCCAAGTGAAAGACCTGATCATCCGTGAGGCCCGTAGAAGAGGACCCCTGCTCTACAAAGACCATCCGATTCGCATCTACGAGGACTACAGCCCGGACGTGTTGAAGCTGCGCAGCGAGTACCGCACTGCCATGGCCGAGCTGTATAAGCGAGGATACCGCCCGGCGCTGCTCTTTCCAACCAAGCTGCGCATCATGATGCCAAACGGGGAGAGGAAGTGGCTCACATCAGCTCCAGCAACGAAAAAGTTTGTTCAGGACTTGGACAATGACTCCTAAACGTCTGTGGTAAATATTTCTGTGAGATTTCATAACACTTTGAAGCAACTTTTGTTAAAGTTAAACTCATCATTCTATCAATGTGCAGAAGCCAGTACTTTTCCCTTGTTTTGTCTATCTGAAGGCCAAGCTACAAGCACACCGTGGAAGCTGCTGATTGGAGGTCTCCAGGCCTCCGCTCTGTATAATACACTTGCATTCTATTGTATCTGTGTTCGTGTGCTTTGTTCGTGCTGTCTCTACCATTGACAATAAAACATGTCTTCTGTCTGAATTTAAGACGCGATCCCAGACTATGCCATCTTCTTCAGGTGGTGGAAGGATGCGGGCCTTGCCTGTAACATCTAGTGAACAGAAGACTACTTTTTTTTTTTTTACACAAAAAGTGTTTTTTTTAAGCCAAAACTGAGAAACCTCAAGAGAAACCATGCATCTGGACCAGCACACTTGGACTATCTGCACAGCCCCTGATTCCACTCAGGCTGTGAGCTGCTGAGATATGGACAAGACCAGCGTCCTCTTTTGCAAGGACATCATTTGGAACAATCTGGATTTCTGAATTTGGACATAATTTGGACTGAATTGATTTGCTAAATCTGGACACTGAAGCTGAAACGTGTGATTGAAAGACACGTCACAGAAGAATTCATGGCTCGACACAAATGCAGCCTGAAGAATCCAACACGGAGAAGTGGGAGAGACTGTTTTCAAAGCAATATCTGGAACCACCATCGACTGATGAAGTTTGGTATTTTACTGAAGATTGTTGACAAGTTTTATGAAAGATCTGAACATGTTTTATGAGTTTTCTGAGTTTAAGTATTCCGAGTTCTGAGTTTTTTGAAGTACCGAGTTTATGAGTTTTTGAAGTATTGAGTTATGATGTTATGTTGCTGTTTATCGATCCTGATGGTCACACGTGAATGTATGACCAGAGGGGGGAATGTGAGATTTCATAACACTTTGAAGCAACTTTTGTTAAAGTTAAACTCATCATTCTATCAATGTGCAGAAGCCAGTACTTTTCCCTTGTTTTGTCTATCTGAAGGCCAAGCTACAAGCACACCGTGGAAGCTGCTGATTGGAGGTCTCCAGGCCTCCGCTCTGTATAATACACTTGCATTCTATTGTTTCTGTGATCGTGTGCTTTGTTCGTGCTGTCTCTACCATCGACAATAAAACATGTCTTCTGTCTGAATTTAAGACGCGATCCCAGACTATGCCATCTTCTTCATTTCCTACCAGTAACTTGCATTATTTCCTTTATAATGACAATGCCACTTGCCAAATTTGCTCATGTAGGATGTGTTTTTCCCTTTTTATTTTTAAATTTTTTTGAAAAGTGAAGGAACCGAAAATGGTTGACCAAGTAATGGGTATTAATTTATTTTTTATTTTTATTTATTTTTCATTCAGGTTACTTAGCGTCATTGAGTTGCTACAGAAAGTCCAAACTTGCTACCATATTGGATGATAATGAAGACTTGGTGTTTATTGTTCTTTCCTGGTGCGGTCGCAGAGTGTTAGGGATTAGGAAGTTTTACAAAATGCTGATTACTAGATCAGAGGCTTGGCTGTCACCTTTTGTGACAATTTTTTTTGTTTCTTTTTTATTACCCTCCACCTCCTCCTTTTTTCCTCTTGTGTTTTTCTTTTCTACAAGTGCTACTCTCTTTGACAATTACGAATTATGTATCAGCCACAACAATTGGAAACTAACTCTAACTCTGTATGTTGAATAGTAATATCTCTAGGCCGCTAGGTGGTGCCTTAAGACTGGTTAGTTGGAATGTCAAAGGATTAAACTCTCCAATTAAGGGGAAAAAAGTTATGAATCACCTGAAACAATTAAACACAAGAATTGCCTTTTTGCAAGAAACCCATTTGTCAGTCGCTGATCAACTTAAAATTCGATTTGGCTGGGTGGGACAGCTATACCATTCCTCTTTCAATAGTAGAGCACGTGGTGTTGCTGTCCTTGTTCATAAGGCTGTCCCATTATCAGTGACTAATGTGATTTCAGACCCTAATGGCCGTTATATTATAGTTTTAGGAAAAATATCTGGAAATAATCTTGCTCTTGTGAACATATATGGACCAAATTTTGATTGTGAAGATTTCTTCAAGAAATTGTTTTTTAATCTCCCTGACTTGAACAGTAGACAGTTTATTATTTCGGGTGATTTTAACTGCTGTCTTGGGTCTCTTGACCGTTCCTCCAATAAACCATACTCTGCATCAAAATCCGCAAAAACAATAGAACTATTTATGCAGCAGTATGGTTTCTCTGATGTCTGGCGGTATTTCAACCCTAGTGCCCAACAGTTTCTTTTTTCTCACCAGTCCACGGTACATTTTCAAGAATAGATTTTTTCCTGCTGGAAAATAGTTTGCTTCCTATGGTGAAATCTTGTGTATTTATACCAATTGTAATCTCAGACCACGCTCCCATTACACTAGACATATCTTTTCCAGGGAACACTCTTTCCCGATCTCCATGGCGTTTTAACTCTCTCTTGCTTGATGATGCAGAATTTGTTAAAACTATAAGCGACCGAATTGACCTTTTTATTTCTACAAATGTTACACCAGACATCTCTGCAAGTGTCACATGGGAAGCTTGTAAGGCCTTCTTGTGGGGTGAAATAATCTCTTACACAGCCTATAAAAACAATGTGACCTCTCAAAGAAGCCAAGCCCTTTACGCAGCCATTTCTGACCTGCAGGCAAGGTGTGCAGATTCACCTTCGGCGGATTTGTCTAAGGAACTGTTAGTAAAAAAGGCTGAATTTGATTCATTGGCCACGGAAGAGGCAGTTAAATCTTTAACTAAGACCCGGTTCAACTACTACGAGTTTGGTGATAAGCCCAGCAAAGTGCTGTCTCATCATGTGAGTGAACGCTGGCGCGCTTTGGCAGCCGCTGCTCACAGAACAAACACGGACTAAAACATTGTTTACGCAATATTGGATGTCGTGGTTACGTTGTGTTTTAAGGATTGTTTACCTGCTTTCGATATCAACCACAGTTTGCTGTTGTCATAAGCATTTTGGACATATTCATACCTGGGACCCCTGGCTGTCGTATTCCCCTCCTGGGAAACGATGTGTGTCTGCCATATAACGCGCTGGCTTGTTGTCATCTGGCTCATCGTGTCCCTGGTCCATCTGCAGGCCAATTCTCTCCTCCAGTACTCCGCTGCTGAACTTTTAAAACTTCGGCACCACGTCCCCGCTCCTCTTCAGCCACCGGAGCGCGGACATGACATCCCCCCGGGCATCGCCTTCCAGCCCCGGCGGCGGTACGTTCACCGTGGATCACGCCGTAAGCTCCAATACAAGGACTCCCATTCAATAAAGTCCCTCTGGTCCACCACTCGCCGCTGCTCCCGCACCGCTGGTCGGGACGCTGACAGTGTCCTGGTCAGCGTGGCCCGATCGGCTCAGCCCGCGGCAGCCAAGAACAGCTCCACCACCGTCAGCTTCGGTCTCCTCAACGTGCGCTCCCTCAACACCAAGGGCCATCTGGTCCGGGATGTCCTCGTCGTGTCCACTGCTACGCGGATGACACCCAGCTCTACCTCTCCACTAAACCATCTTCCTCTCTCCCTCCATCCTCCCTCACCCTCTGTCTACAAGAAATTCATTCCTGGTTCTCTTCCAACTTTCTCAAACTCAATAGCTCAAAAACTGAAGTCCTTCTCATAGGCACCCCCTCCACTCTCTCCAAATCTACCAGCTTCTCAATCTCCATCCATAACACATCTGTCCTCCCCTCCCCTCAAGTCAAGAGCCTGGGTGTCATCCTCGACAGTTCACTCTCCTTCCAATCCCACATCAATAACATCACTCGGTCTGCCTACTTCCACCTGCGCAATATCTCTCGTCTCCGCCCCTCTCTCACCCCCCACACCACCGCCATCCTCGTCCACAGCCTCGTCACCTCAAGGATTGACTACTGCAACTCACTTCTCTTCGGCCTCCCCAACAAATCCCTCCAGAAACTGCAGCTCCTCCAAAACTCTGCAGCTCGTATCATCACCCGGACCCCCACAGCTCACCACATCACCCCCGTACTACAACAACTCCACTGGCTTCCTGTCAAACAGCGCATCAATTTCAAAATACTCCTCACCACCTTCAAAGCACTTCACAACCTGGCCCCTCCGTACTTATCTGACCTCCTCCACCCTCACATTCCTGCCCGCACACTCCGCTCCTCCTCCACCCTCACACTCTCCGTCCCCCCAGCCAGACTCATCACTGTGGGACACAGAGCCTTCAGCCACTCTGCCCCCCAGCTCTGGAACTCTCTCCCCCCTGACCTCCGTACCATTGACTCTCTTCCACTCTTCAAATCCCGACTCAAAACCCATCTGTTCAGACTGTCCTACCCCACCTAACACACACGCGCGCGCACACACACACACACACACACACACACACCTAACACATACGCACACACACACCCTCCTTAACTCACACACACACACACACCATCCCATATTGCACCTGACTACTGTTTTATTCTGTTTATCCTGTTTTTAAATGTTTTTATTATGCCTGTACAGTGTCCTTGGGTGTTTTGAAAGGCGCTTTTAAATAAATTATTATTATTATTATCAGATTCGCCAATCAGCAGCGGCGCAGCACATCACTGAAATCTTTGCTTCGGATGTACTGACAATTAATCCTCAAACTGTTAACGACCAATTTCGGGATTTCTACTCCTCTCTGTATACAACTGAATGTCCGCCTAATAATGACTGTTATGAACATTTCTTTTTCAAGCCTTACCATTCCAACACTTGACCCAATTTTAGCTGAGAGTCTGGACAGGTGCTTCACTGCTGAGGAACTAAAGAAGGCTGTTATGTCCATGCAGAGCCAAAAAAGTCCTGGAGGAGACGGAGTTCTATAAGGTTTTTGTTGACAAATTGTCGCCCTTGATTCTCAATATGTTAAAAGAATGCTCTGACACTGGTGTCCTTCCCACCACTTTACGCCAAGCAACCATTTCATTTATTTTAAAGAAACATAAAGACCCACGACACTGCAGCCATTATCGACCAATCTCGTTGTTGGGCACAGATGTAAAAATGTTAGCCAAAATGCTTGCAAAACGTCTGGACTCGATAATGCCCAAATTAATCAGCCCGGATCAGACAGGCTTTATTAAGTCCAGGCAATCTTATCATAACATAAGGCGCCTTATGAATATCTTGCACTCCCCCTCGTCATCTCATTTGCCTGAAATTGTCATTTCCATGGATGCCGAAAATGCATTTGCCCGTATGGAGTGGCCTTTTTTATTTTACACCCTGAAACGATTACTCTGAATACTTTTCAATGGGCCGCGGTACCCGTCAAGGGTGCCCCCTGTCTCCCCTTCTTTTTGCGATTGCCATAGAGCCACTTGCCGCAGCCATTAGATCCAGTTCAATGCGGGGCATCTTGAGGGGAGACAGGGTTCACAAAGTATCGTTATACGCTGATGATCTCCTGCTTTTTGTGTCGGACCCTGATGTTTCTATACCTCCAATTTTGACTTTATTGGAGGAATTTGGACAGATCTCAGGGTATAAGCTGAATCTCAATAAAAGCGAACTTCTCCCAGTTAACTCTGTGGCCACTAAACACAAATTTTCCAATTTACCATTTAAAATTTCTCTGGATTGCATTAAATACCTGGGGATTAATGTAACCTATAACTTTTCAGATCCATTCCGTTTCAATTTTAATCCACTGCTTGATCAGCTGGCCAAAGATCTAGAGCGCTGGTCGACCTTACCACTCTCTCTTGCAGGAAGAATTGGTTGCATTAAGATGAACGTTCTGCCCAGGTTCCTTTACCTTTTCCAAAGTTTACCTGTGTTTATACCCAAGAAATTCTTTCAGACCCTTGACAATACTTTATCACAATTTTTGTGGGGCGGGAAACCCCCCAAACTGCGCAAAATTTTGCTACAAAAGGGCAAAAGGAGGGAGGACTTGCCTTACCAAATTTTCTGCTGTACTACTGGGCTGTAAATATACGCACAATGCTATTTTGGTGCAGCAACAGCAATGATAAACCACTCTGGCTGTCGGTGGAGGAGACCTCTTGTCACTCTGGCTCTTTGTTTTCTCTCCTATGTCTCCCTCTTAAATCATCACTTACATCATACTCTGATAATTTTATAGTGAAAAACAGCCTTAAAATTTGGAACCAATTTAAAGAACATTTCATTATTCAGGGAATTCCTCTTCTCTCCCCGCTTCACTCCAATCCCCTGTTTCCTCCATCGCTGACTGATGGAACCTTTACCATATGGAGAAACCAGGGACTCGCCTCAGTTAGAGAATTTTACATAGAGGGTATTCTGGCATCCTTTGCCCAGTTATCTTCCAAATTTAACCTCCCAAATACCCACTTTTTCCGCTTCCTACAGGCCCGACATTTTATTAGTAAACATTTTTCAAGTGCTCCTATCATTCCCAATACCACCACAATTGATGCACTTATGACACTCAAGCCTTCAGCAAAAGGTACAATTTCTAAAATATATAGTCTTTTGTTTTCTTTACTTAATGTTTCATCAAACAATCTGCGAGTAGCATGGTCTGAGGAACTTGGAGTGGAGATTAATGATGAACAGTGGGGTCTTGCTCTTAAACGTGTTCATTCTTCATCTATTTGTGCGCGACACTGTATCATTCAATGCAAAGTGGTCCACAGGGTCCATTGGTCGAAGAGTAGACTGGCTCGAGTCTTTCCAGGCTCTGATGATAAGTGTGTGAAATGCCATTTAAGCCCAGCAAATCTTTCTCATATGTTCTTGACCTGTCCTTCACTGACTACATACTGGGACACTGTTTTTGATTCCCTGTCCTTTATTTGTAATGCCAGAGTTCAGAGGTCCCCATTGACAGCCCTCTTTCGCACACTGCCTCCCGGCCACACCTTACAACCCTACTGTGATAGTCTTGTGGCCTTTCTAACACTGTTGGCTAAGTGCTGTATTTTGATGCCTTGGAAGGACCCTCACCCACCAACTCATTCTCTATGGATTAAGGACGCTCCTACGGGCTTGGGAATTCTGCCATTAATTTGCATTGAGAATTCTGCAATGCATTTTAATAGGCCCATGCATTTTAATAGGACTTCAGCTCTTTCAGACATTTCTACAGTTTCAATGATTCAACAGTTTCAAGGATTCAACAGTTTCAAGATTTCAACAATTTCAAGGACTTCAGTGTAATCATGTAACCTAATAGGGATTTTTTCATGTAAACCAGTATAATGCAACTTAATAGGGATTTTTCCATGTAAACCAGTATAATGCAACTTAATAGGGTTTTTTCATGTAAACCAGTATAATGCAACTTAATAGGGTTTTTTCATGTAAACCAGTATAATGCAACTTAATAGGGTTTTTTCATGTAAACCAGTATAATGCAACTTAATAGGGATTTTTCCATGTAAACCAGTATAATGCAACTTAATAGGGTTTTTTCCATGTAAACCAGTATAATGCAACTTAATAGGGATTTTTCCATGTAAACCAGTACAATGCAACTTAATAGGGTTTTTTTCATGTAAACCAGTATAATGCAACTTAATGGGGATTTTTCCATGTAAACCAGTATTATGCAACTTAATAGGGATTTTTCCATGTAAACCAGTATAATGCAACTTAATAGGGTTTTTTCATGTAAACCAGTATAATGCAACTTAATAGGGTTTTTTACATGTAAACCAGTATAATGCAACTTAATAGGGTTTTTTCCATGTAAACCAGTATAATGCAACTTAATAGGGATTTTTCCATGTAAACCAGTACAATGCAACTTAATAGGGTTTTTTCCATGTAAACCAGTATAATGCAACTTAATAGGGATTTTTCCATGTAAACCAGTACAATGCAACTTAATAGGGATTTTTCCATGTAAACCAGTATAATGCAACTTAATAGGGTTTTTTTCATGTAAACCAGTATAATGCAACTTAATGGGGATTTTTCCATGTAAACCAGTATTATGCAACTTAATAGGGATTTTCCATGTAAACCAGTATAATGCAACTTAATAGGGTTTTTTTCATGTAAACCAGTATAATGCAACTTAATAGGGTTTTTTTCATGTAAACCAGTATAATGCAACTTAATGGGGATTTTTCCATGTAAACCAGTATAATGCAACTTAATAGGGTTTTTTTACATGTAAACCAGTATAATGCAACTTAATAGGGATTTTTCCATGTAAACCAGTATAATGCAACTTAATAGGGATTTTTCCATGTAAACCAGTAAAATGCAACTTAATAGGGATTTTTCCATGTAAACCAGTATAATGCAACTTAATAGGGTTTTTTTCATGTAAACCAGTATAATGCAACTTAATAGGGTTTTTTTCATGTAAACCAGTATAATGCAACTTAATGGGGATTTTTCCATGTAAACCAGTATAATGCAACTTAATAGGGTTTTTTTTACATGTAAACCAGTATAATGCAACTTAATAGGGATTTTTCCATGTAAACCAGTATAATGCAACTTAATAGGGTTTTTTTTACATGTAAACCAGTATAATGCAACTTAATAGGGTTTTTTTCATGTAAACCAGTATAATGCAACTTAATGGGGATTTTTCCATGTAAACCAGTATAATGCAACTTAATAGGGTTTTTTTTTCCATGTAAACCAGTATAATGCAACTTAATAGGGATTTTTCCATGTAAACCAGTATAATGCAACTTAATAGGGATTTTTCCATGTAAACCAGTATAATGCAACTTAATAGGGATTTTTCCATGTAAACCAGTATAATGGAACTTAATAGGGGTTTTTACATGTAAACCAGTATAATGGAACTTAATAGGGGTTTTTACATGTAAACCAGTATAATGCAACTTAATAAGGATTTTTACATGTAAACCACTATAATGTAACCTAATAGGGGTTTTTACATGTAAACCAGTATAAAGCAACTTAATAGGGATTTGTACATGTAAACCAGTATAATGCAACCTAATAGGGATTTTTCCATGTAAACCAGTATAATGCAACCTAATAGGTTGCATTATACCACCAGACCAAGACCCAAACGAAGACTCAGACCACCACCAGATAATGACCACAGACCAGGTTTCCTTAGTTACAGGAACCAAATTGTTTCAGCGGTGAGGGGATTTTTCAGTTTCAAGGACACTTTCAATACATTCAGTAGTTTCAAGGATTTCAACTGTTTAAGAATTTAACCAGTTTCAAGGATATCAGGAGGTTCAAGGATTTCAGGAGTTTCCACACTTTCAACAGTTTCCAGGTTTAAAAAAGTTTCAAGGATTTCAGGAGTTTCAATGTTTCAACAGTTTCAAGGATTTCAGGAGTTTAAAGGTTTCAACAATTTCAAGGACTTCAGGAGTTTCAAATATCTATCAAGTATTTTAACAGTTTCAAGGCCTTTTAAAGGATTTCAAGGATTTTTTTTAGCAGATTTCCACATTAGATCTGTTCCGCAGTCAATCGCAATGGCTTCAGCCATTGCAAGTTTCTAGTTCATGCTAAGATTGCTCACATGTTCATTATGCTAACTCATAATAACTTGCTAACTCTTGCTTATCTATTGCTACATCTTGCTAACTCAAGCTTCTTCTTTATACCTCTTGCAAGCATAAGTTGGCTCATAATAACTTATGCTAACTCTTGCTAACATGTTCAGGCCTGCTGTCGGCCATGGATCTGGTTGAGGTGAACCCGTTGCGAGCGGCGTCCGAGGCCGGGGTTGTCTCCACGGTAACGGCGGCATGTGACATCATCCTCAGCTGCTGTGGGTGGAGACGAGAGGGAAGCCACGCCCCCGACTACCACCTGCCCTCCCCTGAGCCGATCGCAGACAAACCCTGTCCCTAGCACCACAGAGCCATATAAGGGACTGTATGAGAACCATATGGAAACTACCGTATACTGAGTCAAATATAAAGTTTATGAAAATAAGTTTTAAACACAATTTCAAGAAGACATTTTTATTGTTATTTTTTTAAAATTAAAAAATAAAACGTTTACTTTGTCCTGTCATGTTTGAGAATGTGACATCACATCCACCAGGAGGGAGAAGCGTCTTCAGTCAGAGCTCCCATAAATCTCTCTGCTCTGGGGTCTAAAGGTGAATGTACTACAGTAATGGTACTACTAATGTATTGAGCCTCGGGTAAAATGTGTTTTTTTTAATCAATAATTTCTGCTGCGTCCTGATTGGCCAATGAGTATTGTTGTCATGACAACAACCCAATTATTGATTAATATCAGAGAGAGATTGGAAACAACTGTCCTGGATTAAACCAGAGGAGAACTGGCACTAAAGCAGGTCTAAAGCAGGACTAAAGCAGGTCTAAAGCAGGACAGCAGGGCTAAAGCAGGTCTAAAGCAGGACTAAAGAAGGTCTGAACCAGGACCGGTCGCACAGATGGAGGCTCTGGTCTTGTTCCTGATCTGGACTTCGGCTTCAGCTGCTGCAGGTGAATTTGAACTAATGGCAAATGTGCAATGATGGGTGAGCTACTTGATTTGTGTTGTGAGCCACAAGCTACTCAAAGCTACCACCATACAAATGTAGCAAGCTAAGTTAAAGTCCTGTCAAAAGTAGCTTGACTTAAAATATAAGTCAGATAAAGGCTGAAACATGTTTATATATTTGTTGAACAATCACCCAACATTTATGTTTCATGGTGACATTTTTATTATTAAACGTGGTGCGGTTTTTGCTGTGCACTGGAGTGTTCAGAAGCTGCAATGGTTGAATTTGTCCACTAGATGTCAGTGTTGCAGCTAGTACGAGCTCAGGCTCGGGTCTCGGTGTGTTACGGGTTTCATCTGCATCTGCCATCACTGCCTTTTCTTTTCATTGAAAGTGTTGTGCTTTTGAAGGTCATGGTACCACATCTTGAGAATTCTCCACGGCTCCTGGCTGTTTGTGTTGTGGCTGAAACACTGTAATGTACAAAAATCAGAAATGTCCAGTATAAAATATCTTTGGAGGGCACTACGAAAATAGCTTAGCTAAAGAAACGTTATTTGGTTTTGTAAATCGCTATGCTAACATCAAGCCACCAAACAATGTATTTAAGCTAGTAGCGTCGCAACTGCCCATCAATGGAAATGTGACAGTATTTTGAAAAATATGTCATCAAAGCTAGGGTACGTAACATTATATGAGGCTAAGGTTTAGTCTCATAAGCTTTAAACATGTGTTATTTGACTAAAGTTACAGACCCCAGCTTTAAACATGTGATTTTTTAGGCTAAAGTTACAGACCCCAGCTTTAAACATGTGTTATTTATGAGACTAAAATGTTGTTTGTTTAAACCAGGGGCCCCGGATGCAGAGCCTGAGCTCCTGCTGGTCCACACTGGGTCTGTTCTGGGGTCTCTTAGGGACCTGTTTGAGTCTGGATCTGGTTCAGACCTGACACTGCGGGTCCAGACCTCGGACCTGGACCAGGTGGAGATCCTACCGGTCCACGCCCTCGTGCTGACCATTCACAGCCCAGTGTTTGGTCACATGATCCAAAGCAGGAAGTCCCCTGTGTTAGAGCTGACGGAGAGTCCAGAGGCTGTGGCGGTCTTTGGCAAGTTCATCCGGTAAGACCCAGACCCGGTCCAGACATGGTGTGGTCCTGGTCCAGACCCGGACCACACCTGGTCGGGACCCGGTCCTAATCCTGTTCAGGCCTGCTTATATTTAAGAGTGAGCTGTGGCTTTCAAATATGGTGGTCCTCAGGGGTCCATACTTGGGTCATTTCTTATCACATATGAGAGACCAGGAAGAGACCAGAAAGAGAGAGACCAGATAGGATGTTTTGGCTCAGATGGACAAACATTTTGGCTCAGATGGACAGACATTTTGGCTCAGATGAGTGCTTGTTTGCAGATACCTGTACACTGGGGTCCTGCTGCTCCACCAGAGGGAAGCGCTCTCTCTGCACAGACTCTCCTGTAAGTTCAACGTGAGCTCTTTGAGGCAAGGCTTAGAAGAGCACATGGCGCAGGTCCTGGACTCTGATTGGCCGGGGGCACTGGTCACTTCCTGGTTGGAGTACGCGGTGCAGACGGGGCAGCCGTGGCTGCATGAGCGGTGCATTAGCACGCTAGCTCTGAACCTGTACGCGCTGCTACAGAGCGGAGGCTTTGCTCGCCTCTCCACAGACCTGCTCCTGGACCTGCTCTCGCGCTCAGACCTGGTCCTGTACTCTGAGCTGGACCTGTTCCATGCGGTCCAGACCTGGATCCAGACCAATGACCCGGACGGGCTCACGGCCGAAAACGCTCTGCGGAACATACGCTATGCCATGATCCCGCCTCAGGTGACGTCTACTTTAACACATGACCACGGCCACTGTATCATGTCCACTTTAACGTGACATACGTGATATATTATACTATTAATGTTATGATGTTAAAATACATTATGGTTCTCCCGGCACTCCCCTCAGCACTGACCTCTCTCCTCAGGACCTATTCCAGATCCAGGCCCTGTCCCCGGTCTTGCAGAGGTACCAGGACTCTGTGAGAGACCTGCTCCTCTGGTCTTTCCAGTTCCACTCCGGCTCCCCGCGCTCCACAGGAGGGCGCTATCTGGACCTGAACTGCTCTTTGTTCATCCCTCGGGTTTATCTGGGTCCTGACTGGGGCCAGGCCTGGACCATCACAGACGCAAGACAGGACCAGCACAGCCTCAGCCTCCAGGTACTAATGTGCACTAATGTAGACAGACCAGTCTGATCTCTATCTGACAGTGTTGTGGTCTCAGACTCAGCTCGGTCCCAGTGGATCTGATCGGTTCCGGAGAGTCCAGTGGAACGTGAGGTACTCTCCCATGTGGTCTACGTCCCGCCCCACCCCCTCTTGGAGCCCCGCCCACATCAGTGTCACTCCTGCTGCCGCTGCTCCAGAGCTCTCTGGAATTCTGTTCCACAAGAGCCTCCTGCTGGTGGGACCAGGGAACTGCAGCCTTCGCCTCTGCCACTTCCACCTCAGCAGCAGCGAGAATCCGGACTGTCTGAAGACCCAGGACAGGGACCAGATACAGGTCCACCTGGTAATCCGGCCAGTCTACCATGGGCTGAACTAGGACTAGACCAGTGCTGACCCCACAGCCCTAAGAACAGACTTTCCTCATTGTCCTTAAAGGAATAGTTCACCGTTTTCACATACTGACAAATGTTCTTACCTTACCTTAGACTAGTTAATACGTACCTGTCTGGTCTTAGTCCGTGAGCTCTGTCATGCAAACGGAGCAAAAACGGGAGCACAACCGCAGCCTCCTCTGTATATTTTGTAGCACCAAAAGGTAGCTCCCGCTAGAAGCTACCAAACTCTTCCAAGTGTTCCCTATTAAATGTATATAGTTACGTGACGTGTTACACTGCAAAGTATAGTAACACAGAAATGTAACAGTCGATTTTCTCAGCGGATAAAACGGGTACTATATTGTGAGGCGTAGTAATCTGAGGGGCGCTACGTCCGCGCACTAACTTCTCTCCGGAGACTTCTCTCTCGCTCACTTCCGTCAATAGAAGCAGCGTGACTTGTAATACACACAGTAGCAGCGAGAGAGAAGTCTCCGGAGAGAAGTTAGTGCGCGGACGTAGCGCTCCTAACTTCTCTGCGCACTAACTTATCTCCGGAGACTTCTCTCTCGCTGCTACTGTGTGTATTACAAGTCACGCTGCTTCTATTGACGGAAGTGAGCGAGAGAGAAGTCTCCGGAGAGAAGTTAGTGCGCGGACGTAGCGCCCCTCAGATTACTACGCCTCACAATATAGTACCCGTTTTATCCGCTGAGAAAATCGACTTACATTTCTGTGTTACTATACTTTGCAGTGTAACACGTCACGTAACTATATACATTTAATAGGGAACACTTGGAAGAGTTTGGTAGCTTCTAACGGGAGCTACCTTTTGGTGCTACAAAATATACAGAGGAGGCTGCGGTTGTCAAGCTGGGGACGGTCCTGATTGTGCGTCTATGTTACGTTACGGCTGCACGTTCGCTGAGCTGTGTCAAAGTGGCCACAGTTGCTCCCGGGGTCAGAACGGAGGATGTTAATCCCGTTCGAGTACGTAACGCACACAACTGCCCGCGGTCATTTCACAGAAATTATATTTTCGGATCCGCAGATAATTCTCATCACTGGTTTATCTTGATGCATTTCATTGTAAGTAAGTAGTAGGAAGTAATCTTTATTTATATACCGCCTTTTCACTGCAGATCTGAGTCTACCCCTCTGGCTCCGCCACTGACAGAGCTCCCGGGTTGAAAGGTAGACACACGGGAATAAACCTCAGGTACAGAAGGAGTGCAATAACAAACTGCACTTTAGGCTCAGTGCAATAACAAACTGTTCTATACTCTTAAAAACAACAACTTTAGGTTTATCAAAGTGCAAGTCTGGAATGATTGCGACAGTAGCTCAGTTGGTAGAGCATTGGCCTTTGAGCCAGAGGGTCATGGGTTCGAGCCCGACCTTCACCATCGACGTCTGCTGTCGTTGTGTCCTTGGCAAGACACTTAACCTCTGGGAACACCAGCCACAGTGGGGCAGCTGCGGCTGTAAAGTGCCAAACTGCCGTTGTGTCCTTAGGCAAGACACTTCACCTACATTGCCTAGAACGAGTCTGGTGTGTGTGTGAATGGTTGGTTGGTGGTGGTCGGAGGGGCCGATGGCACATACTGGTTGCCTCGCTTCTGTCAGTGTGTAGCTGTGGCTACAGTAGTAGTTTATCACCACCGTGTATGGAGTGAAAGAATAATGACATGTAAAGTGTCTTTGAGTGTCCAGAAAAGCACTGTATAAAACCGATGCATTATTATTGCGAGGTTCTCTCTGTCTTGATGTCCTAGACTAGGTTTTTCTCTGCTCCTACAGGTCTCTGATGGTGCTCTTGTACTGGTCCTGATGGTCTCATTGATGGTCTCTAAATGGTGTATGTAAATGTGTGTAAGAACCATGTGAGCCTCTGTCCCAGACACATATCTCACTAAAGCAGGATCTTATAACTAGTGTTTCTTTAGAGCGGTCCTCAGGAGTTATACCTGGTCCAGGGCGCAGATCTGGACTCTCTGGGTGCCAATCTTGGTCCCGGTCTTGAGCGCCTGTATGAACAGCTGTCTGCAATGTGTGTCTGTGACCAGCAGGGGCGCCGCTGCAGCGCTGTACTTCCCCAACAGCAGACACAGAAGCACACACTCATCAGGCAGCGGAGACGGGCCATCAGGGCTCATCTGAGACAGCAGGCAATCCAGGGCTGGGAGGAGACACAACAGCACCTCCTGGAGGAGACGCGACTCATGTCAAGTTAAAACAACTCAGAGAGGAGGAGGGGAGAGGAGAGAGGGGAGAGAAGAAAAGAGAGATGGAAGAGTAGATATTGTATTCTCACCTGTCCGTGGACTTTGTGTAGTGCCTCCATCAGGACACAGGAGGTACTGCAGGGACACTGTGACGTCACCAGACTCTGAAAAAGCTTCTGGAAACTCTCCTTCACTTCCTGTTTGTGGGCGGAGTCATAGTACAGCCCCCCCAGTGCACAGCGCAGGTAACTGCAGTCCGCCACCACCTCCTCACTCGTCCGAAGGAGGCGCTCTGTGATTGGTTGATACTGCGCAGACCCGGCTGCTGATAGGCTCTTCAGCACGCTTATCCCCGCCCTCCTCATCTCTCTGAGTGGAGAGGCCAGAACCACCAGGACCGACGGGAAGACTACGGGAACAGGCTTTAAAGCTGGGGGACAAGATGCCTGTCCCCAGTCCCTGGATCTCTGTCCCCAGTCCCTGGATCTCTGTCCCCAGTCCCTGGATCTCTGTCCCCAGTCCCTGGATCTCTGTCCCCAGTAACTGGATCTCTGTCCCCAGTCCCTGGGTGTCTGTCCTAGTCTTACCTGCAGTCTTGAGGACCACCTCCTGCAGCTGTGTAGTGCTCAAACTCCCCAGGAGGGCGGCGCCCAAGAGCAGAGCAACCAGCTGAAGCTCCACCCCAAGACGAGTCTGGCCACGCCCATCCACCTGGTCGCCATAAAGACCACCATAACTCCACATCAGAGACAGGAAGCGGAAGAGGACGACCGGAGAATCCAGGTGGACCTGCGGGACCAGGGTGAGACCAGGGTGAGACCAGGGTGAGACCAGAGAGAGACCAGAGAGAGACCAGAGAGAGACCAGAGAGAGAGAAACAAAAGAACAGACACACCAGGCACCAGAGACCAGGACTGGAGCAGTACTATCAGGGGGAGGTGTACCTTGAAGAAAAGCCTAAGCAGTTGTCTGTACTGCGCTGTGATTGGTCCGTGTGAGGCCCCGCCCCCCAGCAGGCCACACATCTGGGCGAGCAGGTGCAGGTAGCAGCAGCTGTTGTTGTCCAGACGCTCAGGGTTCCACCACAGCTCACCTGAGAACATTCAACTTTATTTGCTTGGCACAGTTCATATAGTCTGACTCTCGCCAGACCCTTGTAGTTCCGACATGCTCCACCAGAGGCGTTTCGTTGAACACAAGGGTCTGGGATTGGGCGCAATGCAAACTCCTTGAACATAGCAGCAACCGATCAGGATTGCCGATGTAACGTCTGTTAGCACCGCCTTCTTGTGCATATCTCAACCGAAGCAAACCAAGATTGCAGACAACATACAGTCCGTGATCATTTTTTAAAAAGTGTAAATACGAACGAATGAAGACACGGATGTCACTTTTAATGCAATATGAGGTGTTGATGGTTTCATGTCGTTAAATGTGGTTTTCAAGAGTAAAATGTTCGTATAACGTTTTGGTTAAGTACTATTTTAACTGCTGTCCAACTACACTACGCAGTAGGGTTGCCAGGTTGGGCGGTTTCCCGCACACTTTTGTTCCAAGCGACTAGTAGTTAATAAATAGACAAAAAGACAAACAGAATCATGTCAACCTAAATTGATTGCATTACGTTTTTAGCCAAAAAAACATTCTGGGAGTTTTATTTTTTTGGGCATTTCCGCTGGTTTTAAGCTGTAAAATGTTGCCAGCATCTGGGCGTGGCCAGACTCGTCTTGGGGGTGGAGCTTCAGCTGGTTGCTCTGCTCTTGGGCGCCGCCCTCCTGGAGAGTGAGCACTACACAGCTGCAGGAGGTGGTCCTCAAGACTGCAGGTAAGACTAGGACAGACACCCAGGGACTGGGGACAGAGATCCAGGCACTGGGGACAGAGATCCAGGCACTGGGGACAGAGATCCAGGCACTGGGGACAGAGATCCAGGCACTGGGGACAGAGATCCAGGCACTGGGGACAGAGATCCAGGGACTGGGGACAGAGATCCAGGCACTGGGGACAGAGATCCAGGCACTGGGGACAGAGATCCAGGCACTGGGGACAGAGATCCAGGCACTGGGGACAGAGATCCAGGGACTGGGGACAGAGATCCAGGCACTGGGGACAGAGATCCAGGCACTGGGGACAGAGATCCAGGCACTGGGGACAGAGATCCAGGCACTGGGGACAGAGATCCAGGCACTGGGGACAAAGATCCAGGCACTGGGGACAGAGATCCAGGCACTGGGGACAGAGATCCAGGGACTGGGGACAGAGATCCAGGCACTGGGGACAGAGATCCAGGCACTGGGGACAGAGATCCAGGCACTGGGGACAGAGATCCAGAGAAGGGCCTGCCTTCTGAAATACATCTATTGTGTGAAGCTCAGCGAACTACAAGGGTCTGGCAAGAGTCAGGCTACAGTTCATACACAAGGCAACTCAAAGAGCTTAAATAAACCAGCTGGGGGCGCTATGGAGCTAGTCTAACTGTAGCACAAGGGCCCCCCTGCCTGGGCAGTGATGCAGTGATCAGCACTTTGCTTCACAGCGAGAAGGTCCTGGGTTCAATTCCACCTCCAAGACCTTTCTGTGTGGAGTTTGCATGTTCTCCCTGTGTCTGTAGGTTTCATCCGGGTGCTTCACTACAATCATGTGTACTTACAGCTGCTGCTGATCATGAATACACACTGTTCCATACAAATAAACTAATACATACAAATACAAAAAGGACCAGAGTCTGGACCCCAGGCTGATATCAAACCTTTGAAGCTTTGGTCCGGACTCTGCAGGTCTTGGATGAAATGCCACAGGACTGAGACCAGGACAAGACCAGACTGCACCTGTCCGTCACGCTGCAGGAAGACCGCCAGCCAATCGGAGAAGCAGGGGGCGGGACCAAGGGCTGGGAGATTCAGAGGGATCTGAAAGAAGAAAACCAGGTCTGAACCAGGTCTGAACCAGGTCTGAACCAGGTCTGAACCAGGTCTGAACCAGGTCTGAACCAGGTCTGAACCAGGTCTGAACCAGGTGTGTAATAACCTGCATGTCCTGGCGGTGTGTCTCCTGCAGGTGGCGCTCTATCACTCTGTAAACGCGCCGGGCAGTCAGCAAATGGTGAGTGTCACTCACGGTCCTCAGACTCAACACCAGAGTCTGGACCAGGACCAGGAGAGGAACCAGGTCTGGACCAGGACTGAACTCAGAGAGCTGCTCCACACAGGCACACAGGGAATCCAGCTGAAATCAGAGACCAGAGACTGAGACAGAGAGAGAGACCAGAAAGAGGGACCAGAAAGAGGGACCAGAGAGAGACTGTGTGTAAGTAAAGCTTCAGTTTCTCACCGTCTGATGTCTGCTCATCATCTCCATGCTCTGGATGTTCCGGCTCAAAGTAGAGACCAGAGTCTGGACCATGACCAGGACCTGGTCTGGACCCTGGGGTGCAGAGGACTGCAGCGCCACCTCCAGGTCTGAGGGGAAAACAACTTTAAAGATGAGAAATACTGCAGTAAGGCCCATTTTGGGGCGTTCAGACCTGCCGAAGCTTCTGCACGCACCAGACACATTCTCTAAATTTCAGACGCAGGGGTCTTCAGACCCAGAAGTCCTGCTGCGGTGGCGAAAGTAGCGGGTGGACTTTGATGCAAACAGAGTTAAGCTAGAGGCTTTTTGTGTAAAGTTCTTCTCCAACAATGCAGCTTTGCAGCGTCTGTGTCCAGAGACCTTCCAGAGACTGTATATAACAGTGAACGTGTGAACACATGTGTTCACGGAGGTGCGGCATAAGTTTATCTTATTATTAAAGGGTACTTCCGCATCGGCGAACACGCTCAAAGAAGTTGTATAAAGTCGCGGGAAATGAAAACGCATATGTTCACAAGCACACAGTCCCCCATTGTCAATCCTGGATTAGTCCTGGTTTAGTCCAAGTGTAGCTCCTGTTTTGACTGTTTATGACTAGTTTCAGTATGCTCGCTCAGACCGCTAATGTCCCTCTGACCACTTTGCGGCTCTCTGATTGGTCGCCGCACATCGTCCTGGGGAAAGGTTGAGCAATGTTTATCTCCTGTGTGCGCCAATTTTCAGCTCCTGGGCCTCTGCCGCATCTCTACTGCGCAGTCCGTACGTGCCAAAACGCACATTCAGTTCCCCGCGCAAACGTGCGTCACCATTGACTTTGCATTGAAAGTCGCCGCAACGCATGATCCTGTCTGAACGCGGCTTTAGAGTAGAGCCCTGCACAGGCCTATTATCTGGGCCTGAGCCTGGCCCGACATGGTTTCTGAATTCTCAGGCCCGAAACCTGTATCAAGCCTGACTTTTTTTACCTCCCATAACAATGTTTAAGCGTTGTATATGGTGCCGCGCACTGATATGAACACAGGCCCGGCTAGAGGGCGGAGTTATACATGGTAGTGATGTGATGCAATGAGTTCTGTGTGTACGGAGTGAACGGCCGCAGCTGTATGATACACAGATGCTGCAATAAACTTCAACACACGTGAAGGTAACGCGTGTGTCGTCAATGGCAATACTATACAGAACAACAAATACTACAGCGTGATAAAACACTATATTCTTTGGGTGCGTTCATAAATGTAATCTGCCGCTCTGAAAAGGAATAAATAAAAGTGCCCAAGTAATTAAACGGTCATCGGCCTGAAGCCCGGTCCTCGGGCCCCTCTGGCCAAGGGCTCAAGTGCAGGGCTCTACTTTAGAGTGAGATGAGGAGAAAGGAGAGAGGACAGAGGACAGAGGACAGAGGACATAGGACAGAGGAGAGAGGAGAGAGGACAGAGGTGTGAAGTCAGAGGACATACCTGTCCTCCAGCCTCTGGTGAGCGGATGCTGTTGGAGCAGTGGACTCTGGGACAGACTCAGGGACAGTCTGAAGCGAACAGATTCCCAGGTCCCAGACGGCACCAGGAGAGGGAGGAGCCTGAAGACCAGTCTGTCCAGGTCTGCCTCAGGACTGTCCCTCTGTAGACTGTCCCCCTCTTTACGTCCCACAGAGAGCAGCTGCACCGCCTCAGAGAACACTGGACACCTGCAGGACAAGGACACACATCAGAGACCAGAGGGAGACCAGAGGGAGACCAGAGGTAGACCAGAGGTAGACCAGAGGTAGACCAGAGGTAGACCAGTAGCTGTTGTCACTCACCAGTTCTCACTGTAGGAAACTTCAGCTCTTTTCAACAGCAACAGTAAAGAAGAAACAATGTCCTCAAAGTCCAGAGAGTTCTGCACCAGCTGTAGAACACAGGTGTAAATGAGGGACACAGGTGTAAGTGAGGGACACAGGTGTAAGTGAGGGACACAGGTGTAGAGACCTTTAGAAGCCCTAAAGCTGCAGACACCACTCGGGGCTCGTCGTCACCGAGACGGTCGAACACTGAGGTCTTCAAGAAGTCCAGGTCCACAGCCGCCTGTGCAGAGATGCAGTCTTACACACACAGGTGCAGTCTTGTACACAGGCGCAGTCTCACACACAGATTCAGTCTCACACACACAGACGCAGTCTCACACACACAGGCGCAGTCTCACACACACAGGCGCAGTCTCTCACACACAGGCGCAGTCTCTCACACACAGGCGCAGTCTCTCACACACAGGTGCAGTCTCTCACACACAGGCGCAGTCTCTCACACACAGGTGCAGTCTCTCACACAGGCGTAGTCACCTCTCCAGACGACATCAGGAGGTGGAGCTTCTGTAGCGCTGAGACTCTTAGGGACGACTGAGGGTGATTCAGACTCAGCAGCAGAGAAGAGTGAGAGTCCTCCACCATCTGCAACCAGAACAGTCACCAATCACCTGGGGTCTCCCCCTCTGGTCTCCCCCTCTGGTCTCCCCCTCTGGTCTCCCCCTCTGGTCTCCCCCTCTGGTCTCCCCCTCTGGTCTCCCCCTCTGGTCTCCCCCTCTGGTCTCCCCCTCTGGTGCAGTACCTGGTACTTCCCACAGGTGGCTGACAGAGACAGCAGTTGGTGGAACAGAAGCCTCTGGTCATCACTGAGAGAGGACACACGAGACGAGAAGGTTCTGTCCACAGACGAGTAATATCTGTAAGTACACAGGCGTAAGTACACAGGAGTAAGTACACAGGCGTAAGTACACAGGCAGAAGTACACAGGCGTAAGTACAAAGGCTTGAGAGCCCAGAGACACAAAACAAAGACTTACTTGACCTCCAGGACCCTCAGCACTGGCTGCAGACGCTGGTTCATGTGTGAGAGGTCATCCTGGGACAGGGACCGGTCCAGAAGCTCACTGAGGAAAACATGTACGAGGTCAAGTGTCAGAGGTCACATGTCAGAGGTTAGAGGTCACATGTCAGAGGTCACGTGTGTACCTGCACAGGGTCAGGTCAAGATCAGAGGTCAAAGGGACGTGACTCAGCAGCTTCTCCAGGAGCTCAGCAGAAGAACCAGCTTCAGGCTCTGAGAGAGACAGAAAAGGTCAGAGGAGTGTGTGTGTCTGTGTGCGTCTGTGAGTGTGTGTGTGTGTCTGTGTGTACCTGAGCTGAAGGTGCAGTTCAACAGGTAGAGCAGCAGGTGGCGCAGAAGTGGAGACACGTCATGAGTCTGAGACAGAGACTCCAGGGACGAGACCAGATCTGGGACAGAGACCAGACGAGACAGAGACCTGGAACCAGATGACAGGGTCTCATGATCTGAGGTCACATGGTATGAGAGATGCCTCTGCTGCAGTGTCTCAGTAGGATCTGGTTTACATGAGTCTGTTCTATATCATTAAACTGAATTTAAAAAAAAAAAAGATCTTTGGACACCCATCTATGGTATAGGTCACATGGTTCTCACTTCTTTGTGGGTCCAGCGTGGCCTTGGTTCTGAAACAAGACTATCAGAGCCCCCATGGTCTCTGGGACCAACAGTCTGTCTCGGAGGGACTTGCAGAGGACTGCAGACAGCGACTGGACCAGGACCGTCTCCATGACAACCTTCACCGCCAGCTGACATAGCACCATGAGAGACGCCGCTCTATAGTCCACCAGTGAGGACTTTAGGCCCTGAGGAGACAAGACCAAGTTAGACAAGAGACCAAAGACCAGAAAGAGACCAAAGACCAGAGAGAGAGAAGTCTCTGACCTTCTGGACGGTGGGCAGCAGTTTGGTGATGATGGCGTCCGTCACGGTTCCTGAGTCCAGAGCGGAGACGATGGTGGAGGCGAAGAAGGAGAACAGGACTCTGAGCTGAGGTCCTCCTGCTGCAGGAGCCGAGGAGAAGGCCTGAGGAGCAGTAAGGAACAGGAGAAGCAGTGAGGAACAGTGAGGAACAGTGAGGAACAGTGAGGAGCAGAAGGAAGGGGAGGAATAAGAGTAGCAGTGAGAGACCGGGTGTTCACCGGGTGTTACCTGGACGGCCTCTGGGACCATGTTGCAGATGAAGTCCATGAAACTCAGGTCTCGCTGACAGTGAGAGACTAGAGCGAGTCTGGACAGAGGAACGCCCGGCTTCTGCAACAGAGAGAGATGTTACCATGGGTACAGACCAGGAGACACTGTTGTACGTGTAGTGCATGCAGTGCCTGTGGTGCCTATAGTATAGTAGTTTCAGCACCTGTAGTACGAGAAGTACATATAAAACCTGTAATACTCATAGTACCAGTTCCTGTAGAACCTGGTATACCTGAAGTATCTGTAGTATCTGTATTACCTGTAGTACCTAATGTACCTGTAGTACCTAGAGTACCTGTAATCCTTGGAGCCAGCTCCACTTGTCGCTGTCTTGGATTTTCAGCAGCTGAATCACTTTGACGAAGATTTTAGAATCGTGGAAAGGAAGAACACAGGAGACCAGACTGTCCTGGTTATACAGGTGCACATGGTACCTGCACAGCCAGAGGGAAACAGTTTATAGAGGTTCACGTTGGGGTGAAGCGCATGTAGTGTTAGTGTGTCCTCACCGGTGGATGAGCCACTCCAGACACTTGAGGGAGGGCCTCAGCAGGAGGTACGGGCTCAGTAGACGCAGGAACAGATGGATGTCCCGGTCCAGCTGAGCGTTGATCTCTCTGGACTGAACACTGCGCTCTAAAGTCTGAGAGGAGGAACTGAACAGAGACGAGTGGAACTGAGAGAGGAGAGGTTCTATGGACTGCACCTCCTCCAGACCAGAGCACCCTGAGGAGTGAGGAGAGGAGGAGAGGTGTCAAAGGAGGAGAGAGGATAAGAGGTGTCAGAGGGAGAGGTGGTGTCAGAGGAGAGGAGTTGTTAGAGGAGGAGAGAAGGTATCAGAGAGAGAAGGTGTCAGAAGGAGAGGTGGTGTCTGAAAGGAGGAAAAGCTAGAGAAGTGGGACAAACTGTGTGTGTATCTGCCACAGACCCAGAGAGTAGAAGGTACTGCGGTCCATAGTCGCTGCGTCGTCCCTGTCGAACAGTAAAGACGCCACATGTTTTCGGCTGAAGAGGTTTGGGTCAGTCTGTGGAAGGGCGAGTCTCTGCAGTTGCAGCTGGAGGGACGTCATCTGAGGACAGAGAGAGACACACACACAAAGACAGAGAGAGACACACACACACACACACACACACACACACACACACACACACACACACACAGAGGGAGACACACACAAAGACAGAGACACAAACACATAAAAGGGGACAGAGCTTTAATCATGTGTTGACACTAGTTACAGACCCCAGCTTTAAACATGTGTTATTTATGAAACTAAAGTATATTTTCCCTTATCAACATATTAAGCAAATATAAACGACGTGAGTCGCAGCGTCACATAGCGCAATATCAGACACATTACATCTACATTTAACACTCAGATTTTTCTCAAACCTTTCAGTGTTTTCTTCTCACGTGTGGAGACCCGGAAGCAAACGAAGCACCGGCGGATATGACGTGAAAGTCCACATCCGCTCACATTTCTAACATTTAAACAAACAGTAAACAGTAACACATGTAAAAAAAAAAAAAAAAAATCATCCGTTACCTCTGTGATAAACACCAGGTTTCTGAAACTCCAAGAGCCGTCATTTTGACTGTTCCCATTCAAAACAATGGAATTCTGAGAAATGTACCCAAAAACATTTTAATTAGAAATTTTAATTAAATTTTCAACCAGATTTATAAAAAGTTTTTACAAGGTATTGGTCGTTACTCACTTATAAATAAGTTCTAAAACTGATGACTAACTGAAATACCATCCATCCATCCATCTATTTTCTACCCTTTAATCCATTTCTGGGTCAGGGGCAAGTCTTATAGCACCAGCCCCTCACTGACCCTCTGCAGGTGGTGAGTCCACAGGAGCCTAACTGAAATACAACAGATGTATTTGTTGTATTTCAGCTAAATGCCTACGGCTGACAGTAAACCGTGTTGCTATGGTAACTAGTACCGGCTCTTCTCGATATCTCGCACATATGAACATTTCATCACAATGACAAGATATAAACTTCGTATCGATACAGAAACAGTCACAGTTATGAAGAACAAAGCTGTGACACTCTGGGAAGCTCGCAAAAAATCCTCCGTAACTTTCACCCGTTACGTCCGCCAGTGTGACATTTCCTGATATGCTTTCGTTCTGACAGCATTATATGGTCAGAAATCACATAACATCACATATAGACCACATATAAGTTACTTTTAATTGTTTAAAAGGTTATTCAGCAGGATGTTGGGTTCAGCAAAAAAGCAGTATCTATAGTTTTGGAAAATTAATGATTGTGTGGGTGTGTATGCCCTGTTTGTACAATGCAGTGTACTTCAAACTTCTGCCACCAGGGGTAGTGATGCTCAAACAGGTCAGCTCTTATGCCATTAAACATTCTAAAACATCAAACATTTCAAATAAACTTTATTCAGACGGGTAAAAAACACACACACACACGCACACACCAAAGTCACAGCTGCCTTCATGGTCTGGTCCAGTGAAGAGATTGCACACTGGGCTCTAGTCCTGGACTCAGCTCCATTTGGTCCCCACAGTGTAAAGACCCTCAGACCCTCGGTCTGGATACAGCTGGGACTCAAGCAGGTTCAGACAGTACTCCTACAGTCTCTGAAGCTGAGACTGAACCGGTCTCTAGTCTTGCCTCGTCCCCGGCCTCAGCTCCGGTCTCGTCCCCGGCCTCAGCTCCGGCCTCGGTCTCGGCCTCGGTCTCGGCCTCGGTCTCGGCCTCGGTCTCGGTCTCGGCCCCGGTCTCGGTCTCGGCCTCGGCTCCGGTCTCGGTTTCGGCTCCGGTCTCGGCCTCGGCTTCGGCTCCGATCTCGGCCTCGGTCTCGGTATCGGCCTCGGCCCCGGTCTCGGCCTCGGTCTCGGCTCCAGGCTCGGCCTCGGTCTCGGCTCCAGGCTCGGCCTCGGTCTCGGCTCCAGGCTCGGCCTCGGCCTCGGCTCCAGGCTCGGCCTCGGCCTCGGCTCCAGGCTCGGCCTCGGCCTCGGCTCCAGGCTCGGCCTCGGCCTCGGCTCCAGGCTCGGCCTCAGCTCCAGGCTCGGCCTCAGCTCCAGGCTCGGCCTCAGCTCCAGGCTCGGCCTCAGCTCCAGGCTCGGCCTCAGCTCCAGGCTCGGCCTCAGCTCCAGGCTCGGCCTCAGCTCCAGGCTCGGCCTCGGTCCTAGTCACAGGTGTCCCGTGGACTCTGAAGCGGTAGATGCAGGTGAACTCTTTCTGACCCCAGTTTGACAAAACTCTGAGGAGAATGAACTGAAAGACCTCAGTGTTCTCCTGAAAAAGAGGAACAACTTTAGTCCTGCTCTAGTCCTGCTCTAGTCCTGCTCTAGTCCTGCTCTAGTCCTGCTCAATCTTCCTGAAAATGTGAAGAGGAATTTTTAAATCCAGGTTAAAAACAGAGGGATTTTATATTTTTATCTTTCTTTTTAATGTACTGTGATTATTTATTTGTATGAATTGTGCTATACAAATAAACTTGTCCTGCTTTAGTCCTGCTTTAGTCCTGCTTTAGTCCTGCTTTAGTCCTGCTTCATCCTGCTTCAGTCCTGCTTCAGTCCTGCTTCAGTCCTGCTTCAGTCCTGCTTCAGTCCTGCTTCAGTCCTGCTTCAGTCCTGCTTCAGTCCTGCTTCAGTCCTGCTTCAGTCCTGCTTTAGTCCTGCTTCAGTCCTGCTTCAGTCCTGCTTCAGTCCTGCTTTAGTCCCAGACTCACAGAGCAGCTGAAGGTCTGCAGAGCGTCTCCATTTTCCTCGTACACATATGTTCCCAGGAGCCTCCCTGGTTCCTCCTGCTCATGTCTGAGGCCCTGAAAAAAAAACAAACACCAGAATCAGACCAATACCGTCCGTCTCCGTCCGTCTCCGTCCGTCTCCGTCCGTCTCCGTCCGTCTCCGTCCGTCTCAGTCCGTCTCAGTCCGTCTCAGTCCGTCTCAGTCCGTCTCCGTCCGTCTCCGTCCGGGCCCTCACATAGACGCTGAAGTCCCGGGCCGCACTCTGCACAGTCCCAGTTGGAGACAGAGTCTTGGGCAAATGCTCCAGGCTGAAGGCAGAGGGCAGCACCGAGGCAGAGAGCCGCACCATCAGCACACCTGAGGAACCAGCGAACGGCCAGCAGCTACCAGGATGGACGTCAGCCTGGGGACACAGGGCAGGCTGAAGACACAGGACAGAGGAGAGAGAGAGGACAGGCTGAAGACACAGGACAGAGGAGAGAGGACAGGCTGAAGACACAGGACAGAGGAGAGAGGACAGGCTGAGGACTGAGGACTGAGGAGAGAGGACTGAGGACTGAGGACAAAGGATGGAGGACAGGCTGAGGACGGAGGACAGAGGACAGAGGACTGAGGACTGAGGACAGAGGACAGGCTGAGGACAGAGTGGAGAAGACACAGGACCCCTATCCCCCTGCTCATACCTGGATGGCGGCGCGGGGGGACTGCCGGTAGAACCACAATGGGATTCCAAACAGACTGAGCAGAGCAGCTTTGGTCTCAAAGGTCTGTGAACAACGGGAACTCACAATACTACCCCCTGAGGACAAGGAAAGGAATGACACCATGAACCAGATGGAGACCAGAGAGAAAGACCAAAGACAGAGACGTTACCTCCAGACTCCAGAGCAAAGTCGGCCAGTCCGGTCCTGTCCGCAGAGAAGAGATTAAGAGCTCCACGGATCATGCTCTGGACCTCCTGTGACAGAAGGTGTGTGTGTGAAGCTGGTAAAAGGTGTTTGACGTGTGTGAAGCTGACCTGGTGTGTAGCGCCCCCTGGAGGCCTCTGTGTGAGCTGCAGGACTCTGAGCTCCAATGCAGACAGCGCCCCCTTCAGGTCCAGACCAGGATCCAGGGACCGAACTTGCTCCTGGACCATGGGCCGGACCTGCTCCTGGATCTGCTCCTGCACCAGGGACCGGACCTGCTCCTGGATCTGCTCCTGCACCAGGGACCGGACCTGCTCCTGGACCAGGGAACGGACCTGCTCCTGGACCAGGGAACGGATCTGCTCCTGGACTGAGACCTGGACCTGCTGTGTGAGCGAGCTTAGCGCCCCCTGGAGGTGAGACAGCTGTACTGAAGGCCTGAGGACAAACAGATGTGTTGTGAACAGAGCAAGCACGGCCAGTGGGAACTGCGACACAAGTCATTTGAAGCAGGGGTCGTGACATTAAAGCTGGAGTTTGTAACTTTCAGACCACAATGGAACTGTTATTTTATGAGACTAAAGTTACACACCCCAGCTTTAAACGTGTGTTATTCATGAGACTAAAGTTGCAGACCCCAGCTTTAAAAGTGTTATTTAAGCCCCGCCCCCCTCATGTAAAAGTAATCTAAAGGTTTTTTTAGAGCGTGTGTTGACGTATGTGGTGACATTCGCAAAGCAGCATTAAACATTTATTTACCCGAGTGGATCTATGGCAGAGGCAAGTCCCACGATTTGCTCCAGCTCCTGAAAAAAGGAAACTTTAGACAAGTTGTGAGGTTCTGGGTCCTGCGGGACTGGGTCCTGGACTCACCTGGGTCCGGAGGGTAAGCTGCCTCAGGTCTCTGTGTAGATGTTCCAGTTGATCAGAGCGACTCTGTTCTGAATCTTCCCTCTGAAACAGCCACATGTTCATGGCTCACGCTAAACTGTGAATGGGCAAGAATTCCAGTCTCTCGATGTGCAAAACTGATAGAGACATACCCCAAGCGACTTGCAGCTGTAATTGCAGCAAAAGGTGGCGCTACAAAGTATTAGCGCAATGGGGCCGAATAATATTGCACGCCCCACTTTTCAGTTTTTTATTTGTTAAAAAAGTTTAAACTATCCAATAAATTTCGTTCCACTTCACGATTGTGTCCCACTTGTTGTTTCTTGACAAAATTAAATTTTTACATCTTTATGTTTGAAGCCTGAAATGTGGCGAAATGTTGAAAGGTTCAAGGGCGCCGAATACTTTCGCAAGGCACTGTATGTATTGTTGATTTTTTACATTGTGGTTGTGTTGAGGAGATTGTGTGAGAGAGGGATATAAATAAGCTCTTGCCTCTGCCAACCCTCTTTTCAAACCATGCGTATGTTTAGAAGAGGAATTGTCTTAAAAATGTTATGTGCAGGTTTGAAATATATACATTGATTGTTTGGTAACAGTTTAGTTTGGAGTGAGCATCTGAACTTAAACATTCCCAACACACACACTGAACTTAGAGGGACCCACCTGCTGTTGGTTGGTCCAGACCTGGTCCAGGATTGAGCCCTGGTCCATGTCCAAGTCCTGACCTTGGATCTCCATCTGTTTCCAGAGCAAAGACACTCTCTGCTCCAAACACTCAAGACGAGATGAGTCCGAGACCTGGGTTAGACCAGAGTTGAGAACTGCTTCAGTCCTGCTTCAGTCCTGCTTCAGTCCTGCTTCAGTCCTGCTTCAGTCCTGCTTCAGTCCTGCTTCAGTCCTGCTTCAGTCCTGCTGTAGGGCACGGTGACAAAGGTTTTCCCAAACAAACTAAGCCAAGTGGCCCGGATTGTCGCCAAAGGGGTGTAAAGAGGGCCAGCGGTCAGAAGGGTTCATTTTTTCAACTGTGGAAGCCCAAGAGAGGTGTGTTAAGCCTAGCGTACATCGGACTGGCAACTGATTATATCCGTCGCATACGAGTTGCTGCCCCGCACACATCGACAATCTGACGAAAATGGGCAACTCCCAGTAGCAGACCGGTCTCGGGAATAACAGCGCGTACATCGACAGCAACTGGCCACTGTTGACTTCAGAGTGCTTGGGGGTTGTATGCAGATGCCAGGAGGAAGCAGGTTTTGAGGATGCTAATGTCTCACTGTCCTTTTGTTGTGTTGGCCTTCCGTCCTGTTTGCATATGAAGGTGTCTTGTACTTTAAAAAGGAGTTTGTCGCCTGATCTGAGGGAGATCTGATTTTGGAACCAAAGAGAGCAGCACTTTCTGCTCTGTCTCTGGTTTGGAAATCACTTCTTCTTGGAATGCAACAAAGTATTAAAAATGCCGAACTATGTCTTTTGTGTTTGTGATTTTGTCAGGATTGACTGTAAATTACAGCAATAACATTACACTAGGCTTCTGTGTACTGCGACTAAACGCTGTGAGCCTGAGAAATTAAATAATGAGTATGAAAGAATCTTTGGATTTCAAAAAACATACTATTCAAAACTTCTTTTTACTAAATGGTGTTTAAAAACGTTTAACTGTGTTATAACACAATGTTCAATTGCAAATTTTGCAAATTTAACGGAATAAAAACTATGAAAAGCCAAAATCCTAAAAATTAAAATCAGAGCAGCAGCGAGGGAGGGGGGGTTCCTGTCACACAGACGCACACACACAGGCAGAAAGTAGTGTTTTAGCAAAAATGCAAAAACAGAAAGAAGAAGAACTTTCAAGATTACTTTTTTAAGCTAATATAACTGATGTTGTAGTTTATACTTTTGTCATCCAAGTCTAAAAATGGCCACTTTCCACACTTGTAACAAAAGGCACTCTTACTCTTTAATTTCCCTTACGCTTCTATTTTATCGAGGTAGCAAACTAGTTTAAACTCAAAATCTCTTTCTAAAAAACAAAAAAACAACTGTTGGATACAGCCCGAGCCGCGACAAAAAATGTAAATAACTCACGAAAGCTCTCATAGCTCAACTTTAGATAAAACTCGGCATTCTCCGGTGAACTCTGTTCACGCCAAAAAACAAACTAAAAAACAAAAACTCCCTTTTTCTGTATGTAATTTAAACCGTGATTACTGAAATATTGTTGCTTATGTACTTTTGTCATTTATCAAGCCTGGAATTGGTTAATTACAAAACTTTTTGTGACAAAAGGCCTCCTTAACACGTTTCCCTTTTTAAAAATTGCTTTTATTTTTACACCATGGTTTCACTAAGGATCCAACACTTTTCTTTGGCTAGCAAGGGGCCTCTACCCTGGTAATTACTCAAAAAAGGGCCTCTACCCTGTAATTACTCTTTCTCTGCCCTGACTACTTCAAAGGACAGGGACCCCGATACGTCAAGGGGTTCTTTTTTTCCTATAGTAAGTAAGTAAGTAAGTAATCTTTATTTATATACCGCCTTTCACAGTCACAAAGCGTTTTACAATTGTTATTATTTTTGGGCATTTGTCCTCTCACTCCACACAGAGATGGGAGCGGGGTCGCCAGTACAGGAGGCGCATGCCAGACCTATTGTGCATGTTTTTAGTGGTAGGGGAAACCGGAGTACCCGGAGGAAACCTACGCAGACACGGAGAGAACATGCAAACTCCACTCAGAAAGGCCCTGGTCCGGCCGGGATTCGAACCCAGGACCTTCTTGCTGAGAGGCGAGAGTGCTATCCACTCAGCCACCGTGCCGCCCTAGTGGGTAACCAGTCCTATAGGGACTGGTTACCCACACAGCTAACCTGTTTTCTACAACATAAGACATGACAAAGACATGACAAAGACAAAACAAAGAAAATTTGATTTAGAGAGATTTGGACAGACCTCCGGGACAGCTCAAAATGTAGCTAGTATCCAATTATGCAGACTTTACATATTAAAAAAGGCGTCTGCTTACCTTATTTTCTTTGTCCGGACTGTTCGAGAGGTCGACCAACATCTTTTCCGCGTCGAAAAATTCAATTTAAACACAAAACAGAGAAAGTGAGGGAGCAAGAGCAAGCCCATCCAAAAGCGAGCCCTTTCAGCGTCCACTGGGATTTCTCCCTTTCCAGATAACTTGCTGTTGCTCCCACACGCCGAAAAAAAAGAAACAAGGGAAACTCCCTCAAAACAATCCAGAGAATGGCGCACACTGAGCCGCACATCCTCCACCAAATCTGTCAGGGATGAAGCAGACAGAGACGGATCGTGGTGCGCCAAACTCTGGAAGTTTATTTAAGTTTCTCTCAAGTTCCAGTGGTTTCAATTGCTTCTTTCTCTCAGACAGAATGGAGTCAGTACACAGTTTATATAGTCATTGTCACGTCACACATCGAAAGACATACGTGTCACACAGAGACAGTCACATCATAGTCAAAATAATCAGAGTTCTTGTACAGTCCTGCACGTAGGCCATATTGCTATCTAATACTAACAACATTTAGAGAACAGAAGACTATTTTTTTTTACACAAAAATGTGTTTTTTTTTAAAGCCAAAACTGAGAAACCTCAAGGAGAAACCATGCATCTGGACCAGCACACTTGGACAATCTGCACAGCCCCTGATTCCAGTCAGGCTGTGAGCTGCTGAGACATGGACAACACCAGCGTCCTCTTTTGCATGGACATCATTTGGAACAATCTGGATTTCTGAATTTGGACATAATTTGGACTGAATTGAATTGCTGAATCTGGACACTGAAGCTGAAACGTGTGATTGAAAGACACGTCACAGAAGAATCCATGGCTCAACACAACAAATGCAGCCTGAAGAAACCAACACGGAGAAGTGGGAGAGACTGTTTTCAAAGCAATATCTGGAACCACCATCGACTGATGAAGTTTGGTATTTTGCTGAAGATTGTTGACAAGTTTTATGAAAGATCTGAAAATGTTTTATGAGTTTTCTGAGTTTTTGAAGTATTCCGAGTTCTGAGTTTTTTGAAGTACCGAAGTATTGAGTTATGATGTTGTGTTGCTGTTTATCGATCCTGATGGTCACACGTGAATATGTGACCAGAGGGGGGAATGTGAGATTTCAGAACACTTTTAAGCAACTTTTGTTAAAGTTAAACTCATCATTCTATCAATGTGCAGAAGCCTGTACTTTTCCCTTGTTTTGTCTATCTGAAGGCCAAGCTACATGGCACCGTGGCAGCTGCTGATTGGAGGTCTCAATGCCTCCGCTCTGTATAATACACTTGCATTCTGTGTGTGTTTTGTTCATGCTGTCTCTACCATCGACAATAAAACATGTCTTCTGTCTGAATGAAAAGACGCGATCCCAGACATGTCATCTTCTTCATAACGTCTCACAGCAAGTAGTTTTCCCCGTGCATCTGAAGAAGATGACATAGTCTGGGATCGCGTCTTAAATTCTGACAGAAGACATGTTTTATTGTCAATGGTAGAGACTGCATGAACAAAACACAGAATGCAAGTGTATTATACAGAGCGGAGGTATGGAGACCTCCAATCAGCAGCTTCCACGGTGTGCTTGTAGCTTGGCCTTCAGATAGACAAAACAAGGGAAAAGTACTGGCTTCTGCACATTGATAGAATGATGAGTTTAACTTTAACAAAAGTTGCTTAAAAGTGTTATGAAATCTCACACATCGTTGAAAACTTTCCCTGTGCCGTCTGTATTGTAATTTTGTATTTTATTTTGCATGCTGTAATTTCTTTTGTATTTTCCTCCCAAGGGACTACGGATGACAACTAGCTTGGTAGCTATAATCCGGCATATTTACATTTGTTTTATACTCATGTTCATTAATGTGCATTGTCCCTATCAAATAAATAAATGTGGGTACCCAAGCTTTAATTTCTGGTTGTGCTTCAGGTGAGACACGGGGGAACACGGGAGAGACACGGGGGAGGCACAGGAGGAGACACGAGAGTGACATGAGAGTACACACGGGAGAGACTCGGGGGACACCTGCACATGCAAGGAAATGCAAGCCGCAGCAAGCGCAGCAGGAAGCCGTAATGTGACACACATTATCCCGCCCCCACCCCACATTGACCCCCACCAACTTCGCTTTACAAGTTGTTTAGTCCTGCTTTAGTCATGCTTATAGTCCCGCTCACTATAGTCCGGCTTTAGTCCGGCTTTAGTCCGGCTTTAGTCCGGCTTTAGTCCGGCTTTAGTCCGGCTTTAGTCCTACTTTAGTCCTACTTTAGTCCTACTTTAGTCCTACTTTAGTCCTACTTTAGTCCTACTTTAGTCCTACTTTAGTCCTACTTTAGTCCTACTTTAGTCCTGGTTCATACCTCCACTTCCATAGACTCCTCAGGCTCCAGTTTTGAGTCTTGGTGAATTTCAACTGCAGTCTCTGATTTAATAGATCCTGGGTCCGATCCTGGGTCCGATCCTGGGTCCGATCCTGGGTCCGATCCTGGGTCCGATCCTGGGTCCGATCCTGGGTCCGATCCTGGGTCCGATCCTGGGTCCGATCCTGGGTCCGATCCTGGGTCCGATCTTGGGTCAGGTGTAGTGGATCCAAACCACAGCAGAACTGCAGGAAGTCAAATAAACAGTACAATCATCTCTGGCTCCTTTAGATTTCATGTATCAGTAACTTTCTGTTTGTGCTGATACGGTCTTTGTATATCCATATAAGGACTGACCAATCAAAGACATCAGAACACATGCTCATAAGGAAATTGGCTCCAGCTTATGTTCAAATAAGCTTCTTCCGCATCAAGGCTAACACTGGGGTGATGTCACACTGTGGTCATGTCACACTGTGGTCATGTCACACTGTGGTCATGTCACACTGTGGTCATGTCACACTGTGGTCATGTCACACTGTGGTCATGTCACACTGTGGTCATGTCACCCGTGGACCCTCACGATTTTCTAACTACGCAGCCGGCTGCAGGGAAGGTGGATGTGATTAGGTTGTGGATGGAAGCATGGAACGGCTGCAGAACATGAGGCACTTTGGAGAAGATCGTTTCGGGCTCACAAGCCTCATCTACAGGTGGCTGTGGACTAGTGTTCTGTTGTAAACATTTCTATACTGTACAGTAGTTTCTATTGCACCGTTCTGATGTCTGAGTCATTGCGTCGGCACTTTGTTGCATTCATTACTTCATTACTATTTATTCACTTGTAAATAGTTTGGTCGCAGATTTATTATTTTTGCTGTTTGTGCACCAATACAATTGAATAATAATAACTATGTTTCCAACAAGAACTGTCTTTATTCACAGCATCACAGTTAAAATGACATAAATGAATCACAAAAACATGAGCCCAAACAGCTTGGTTGCAGTAGCAGCGTAACTTTATAATGGGACCCTTTGGTTTTCCAGGCAACTCCTGTGAGATCACCATCATGTGGTTGGGTGTGGGATTACAACTTTATCTTCAAAACTATGCAGGGGGGCACGCTTGAGTATACAAACTACTGTGGCTGCGAAACCAACCACGTGTCCAGCGCAAACGCCAACACAACCAGTGACGCCCGAGTATACACAGGCCATAAATGTTTGGACACCCCTGGTCTACAGTGTGAGGTCAGAGGTCAGTGAGAGAAACTTACCGAGGACCAGCAGCACCAGGAGACACAGGACCACAGCCAGAGGGAGCCTGAGGGAGGGGAAGAGAGAGAGAGAGAGAGAGAGAGAGAGAGAGGGAGAGAGGAAGAGGAAGAGAGAGAGGGAGAGAGTTAGAACCTCTGAGGCAGTCAGAGGTCAGAAGTTGAATACACAGTACCTGTTTTGGTCAGAGCGCTGGGCCCACCTCTTCCTCACCCACCTCCACACTGTTCCTCCACTCTGCACTGAACACAAACAGGTATGATGTCACCGCTGTGTGACCAGTACCAGGTCCTGCTTTAGTCCCCTGGTCCTTTAAACCAGTTACAGGTCATTCTTTAGTCCCTCTGGTCTTGGTTCTATGCAGGCCGAGCTGGTACTAGTCACCGCTGTGTGACCAGTACCAGGTCCTGCTTTAGTCCCCTGGTCCTTTAAACCAGTTACAGGTCATTCTTTAGTCCCTCTGGTCTTGGTTCTATGCAGGCCGAGCTGGTACGAAAGTGTTCTAACTGACAGTGATTGAAGACATGGTTACAAAGGAATTTACCTGGATACTGGTTTGTTGTGGGACAGAAACTAAAACACAATGAAAACACAGGTATACGAGCAGAGCAGGGCAGAGCAGATGAAAATGGTGTCTCTTTTCACCTGGTGTTCCCCCCCCCGCACCCTGCCCCCGCTCTCACACACTCTGAGCTCACTCCACACACTCGGCAGAAGCCTCGAAAGCACAGGGACAGGAGGAGGAGCCTGGACAAAGAGCAGAGGGAAGAGCACTGGTGCAAGCCCACAGTCACATGGTGTTTAAAGCTGGGGTATGTGACTTTAATGCTGGGGTGTGTCACACAAATAGAACTATCATTGGATTAGAAAAGGAGTGAGGAGTTCTGGACCAGTGCTCTTCACCCCTTCACCACACGAGGGCGTTAGAACCTGTAAGTCGTCCAATCGCCACGGTTACACGCCTGAGGGGAGGAGCCAGAGCCACGCCCACTGCTGCAGAGATGTCATACAGGCCGCAGACTGCAGGGGGCGCCAGAGAGGACAGCAGAATTACAGCAGTGACGTAACAATGGACCACGATGGTTTAAGTTATTACAATCACACTGGTTACTGATGCAATCCACCTGCTTGGGTTTGTGTTAGACTGTTAAGAGACACATATGTGTCATGTGACTGTTACATGTGATCTGTAGATGTCAATAAAATGTAAATATTACTGTCCCTTTAAACACAGGCAAATCAAAAATCACAAATTTGAGAATGACCTCATCCTCAACACAGGTCAGAGGACAGCCTCTGACCTGTGTGGACACTGGGCTGAGGAAGCATGCAACGAGACAATTCAATGCACAGAAACAATTGTAATGTTACTACTACTACTACTACTACTACTACTACTACTACTACTACTACTACTACTACTACTACTACACCTGTGGTCAGTGTGGTGCTCCATAGTGCTGACAGGATACTAAGCAGCAGAGACACAGAGGAATGAGAGACTCTGCAGTCTGCACCTGAGGACAGGGAAGAAGGATCATCTCCCTCTGGTCTCCCTCTGGTCTCCCTCTGGTCTCCCTCTGGTCTCCCTCTGGTCTCCCTCTGGTCTCCCTCTGGTCTCCCTCTGGTCTCCCTCTGGTCTCCCTCTGGTCTCTTTCGTACTCACACAGGTCTCTCTTCCCTCCAGACTTCATCACAGTGCCAAGTCCTGGAAGATCAGAGAAAATAAAAGGTTATGATCAAATCAAAGTAAAAAGAGGAGTCCAGAGCGGAGAGGAACTCATTTACATTTCACCACGGCAACAGGGAAATGCCCTCATTTACATCTATCACATCAGAAAAAACAAACTGGGAGGAGCCAGGAGCCAGGACCTAGAATCCAGGAGTCAAGACCTAAGACACAGGAGCCAGGACCCAGACCCCAGGAGCCAGGGGCCGGTGCTGCCTTCATCAAGAGAGAGACATGTGACATCATGAGGAGTTTTACCTTTGAGCTGAAGTTTGTTTATGGTCTGCTTCAGAACAGAAAAGAAACAAGAGAGCCACCAGCTGAGGGACAGCTTGACACCTGAGGGAGGAGCCAGAGAGGAGGGGCATCCCGTTAAAAAACTGCTCTCACAAAGAGCCACTTCATAAATGCTTGGTGGTCTGTCTCTCACCTCTGGTCTGTCTCTCACCTCTGGTCTGTCTCTCACCTCTGGTCTGTCTCTCACCTCTGGTCTGTCTCTCACCTCTGGTCTGTCTCTCACCTCTGGTCTGTCTCTCACCTCTGGACCTGTGCCTCCTGCAGTAGATGGTCTCCTCTGGACTCGTGGTTTCAGTTCTGCTCTCTGGCCTCGCCTCATCTTTCTGCTCCGGTTTGGTCTCTGGTCCAGTCCTTCCTCTGGTCTCTGGCCTGGTCCCCGGCCTGATCCCCGGTCTCTCAGAGGTCGAGGAGGGGATGGTACTTGTGACTTCAGACTCACATAAAGCTTCACTGAGTCTACTGCAGGACTGCTCTGGACCAATCAGAGCGTGGCGTGGCTTCAAGCAGGAAGTGTCTGGACCAATCACAGAGCAGTCTGGGAGGATGGTGCTGTCACACATCAGGGTGCTCTCTGAGGACAAGAGCAGACACACGTCCCGTCTGTTTGACATCAACAGGGTCTGGACCAATCTGAGACACAGGTCCACATCACAGTGTCTGATTGGTCAGGACAGTCTGATGTAGGGGTGGGCAATAATTATCGTAAGAGATAAAATCGCAAAAGTGGAGTGCTATAAAGTAAAGTGCTATACAAATAAACTTGCCTTGCCTTGCCTAGAGGCCGTGGCATTTCATACAGCAGTGACACGGCACGTTTTGTCGTCATTGAACAACGTGGCTTTACACCAGAGACTGTAAACTTTATACGCAGCTAGAAAATAAACTGAAGGTTTCTAAATTTCTAAATTAACCCTGTTTTTATGATAACAGAGTGAAGTTTTTCGCCACTGATTACAGTCGAAGGCATTACTTTGCAACACACAAACTCCCGTGACTGTACACTACGGAGAGAGCGGCTGAATTGGATTAAGTTACTTACCAATATTGTAATTACTTTTTTTTATCTTAAATGTTGCAGAAGCACTTTGTTCCTATTTGCAAATTGAGTTGCGTGGTATATTTTTGAATGAAGAAAAGGCAATCTGTGTAATTTCTTCAAAAATAGGAAACAAATGTGACAGAAAACCTTTGTTCCTACTTGAACCAATTCCTCTTTGAGTTTAAAAAGAGACTTTGGATTTGTAATTGCAGTAGTTTTTGGAGGGTTATTTTTCCTGTAAAAATATCGTTATATACCATATAGAGAAATTTTCAAAATGTATCAAGATATATTTTTTCTCCATATCGCCCAGCCCTAGTCTGAAGTCACTCTCACCTTTAGGATCGTCACAGTCCAAACCTGAGGACAGAAACACAACTTCCATCACAAAGAACACACAAACACACACCCCCCTCCATGTTCGTGTCCTTCTGGCTCATTCCTCCCTGCCTGTGTGTGTACTTCTGGCCCGTTCCTCCCTGCCTGTACATGTACATCTGGCCCATTCCTCCTGCCTGTATGAGTGTGTGTCCTCACCCCAGAATCCATGCAGAGCGGTGGACTCCTGGATACTGGACTCATCGAGCAGCGAGGAGAGCAGAGAGGCGTCAGAGGGAGCAGAGGAGAGAAGACTACTGCTCAGGGCCGAGGAGGTCAGGGCCCAGGTCTCAGGTCTGGTCTCCGGTCTGGTCTCCGGTCTGAGGGGAGACTGGGCCAGGAGGGACTCTGAGCAAGAGGAGGAGAGACGCCGACTCCACCCAGACCTGTTTTTCCAGCCTCCTGCTCCTCTTGGTTCTCCTCCTCCGACACTGAAGGAGGCACTGCCCTGAGGAAGGCTCCGGTCCAACAAGCTATGGTCGATACGGAGACTGCGGCGAGACATGACTGAGGAGGAAGAGGACATTTGTGTGGACTGAGGAGGCAGTGGAGGAGTGGGATCCAGAGACTGGGACGTCTCAGAACCTGCTCAAACAACTCCTCACCCATTTATTTTTACTTAAAAGTAAACCATATTACACTCTTCTTCATGTCTCAGTTCTCAGCATGTGTGATAATAATGTGGGTGATGCAATCAAATCATGTAAGATTATAGACATTTCTTACTTAAGGGTGAAGCGAATGGATTGTTTTCCGCAGACTATTTTACCTCCAAAGCTTTTGTTGTTACATTTCAGAACAGAAAAGTTATTTATTTTAGTTATTTAGTTCACAGAAGTAAGAGGCGAGTTACACATTCGCCTCATTCGTCTTTGGGCAAAATGCTAGCCTTTTCACATATTTACACCCAAAAACACATTTTCTCTAAGTCACATGATGCTAACACTAACAACAGCAGAAAAAAGTATAGCTCCATGAGATGGACGCGAGACCAAAGACTGTGCCCTGATTCCCTGTGTAGATTTGTCACTCACCTCCTGGATTATATTCATTTGCTTATTTTGGAAAACAAACAGCATATTTTTATGATATATTGTTTTCGCTATTTTTATGACATTACTTTAGAACTATTTTATGTGTAAAAAAAAATAGTATATTGGGTCTGGCCCCTGATAGCAGGCTAATATTCCAATGTGGCCCTCTGGGGCAAAAGGTTGCCCCTGCCTGAACTAGAACATGGAGCTACTTTAGTGTAATAAATGATACATATTTAAAGCTGGGCTAAATCTATGGTGTAAGAAAGAGACCTGTGATGATATGAAATGACAAGGGGGTCTGGGGTCGTGGCGATGGGTAAAAACCAGACACGAACAACATTTCACAGAATGCATGTGATATAAACATAGACAGTCCAATCAGCAGCTGCCACGGCGCCAGTAGCCTCAGCCATCAGACCAAAACAAGTGAAAATTCACAGACTTGTACATTCTGACCTAATGAAGCGTTCAACTTTAACCACAGTCGCATCAAAGCCTCATAAAAGATCCATAAAGCAGAACTAAAGACATGGGTTTAATACAGTGTTCTATTGGTCTGAAAGTCATGTACCTCAGCTTTAACCCGTAATTATTGTGCTTGTTCGTTGCCAAATCTGCTTTTAAAACAGTGAAAGTAATCTTTCAAACTGCAGTTTTGATTCTGACTGAAACGTGTTGGAATGTGCGGAGCCGCTAATACCAATGCCACAGAGAGAACTTGACTTTGGACATTATAAAGTATTTAAGCATCTCTGCAGACCACAGAGTAACACAGAGACACTAACATTACACATACATAGATATTAAGATGGAGTTACCGGGAGTTCAGCAGCGGGACACAGGAGAACGTTGACCCAAAACCAGCAGTGGTTTGCGGCCGTGTGAGCTCGCGGGCCACGGAGCTCCGAGGCTAAGCTAATGTGGCTAACGCTTCAGAGGCTAAGCTAATGTGGCTAACGCTTCAGAGGCTAAGCTAATGTGGCTAACGCTTCAGGGGCTAAGCTAATGTGGCTAACGCTTCAGAGGCTAAGCTAATGTGGCTAACGCTTCAGGGGCTAAGCTAATGTGGCTAACGCTTCAGAGGCTAAGCTAATGTGGCTAACGCTTCAGAGGCTAAGCTAATGTGGCTAACGCTTCAGAGGCTAAGCTAATGTGGCTAACGCTTCAGGGGCTAAGCTAATGTGGCTAACGCTTCAGGGGCTAAGCTAATGTGGCTAACGCTTCAGGGGCTAAGCTAATGTGGCTAACGCTTCAGGGGCTAAGCTAATGTGGCTAATGCTTCAGGCGTGTCCTAAACTAAACTCAGAAATTGCACTGAACAATCCACTTTAAACATTTCAAACAGTTGTACAGAGGGATAAAAGCCGAAAGAAGCGGCATAATCTCCATCAAACAGGATCTGCGCCTCTGTCACTGGGCAAAACTACGACCACCAATATCATATTAAAGACCTTATGCCGGGTTTGATTGATTTAGAAATACAGTTTTAATACCATTTTACATTAGAAGAGAACTACTAAAGGTTTCAAAATCATTTTTTTTTGTCTGATCCCCCCAAATTGAGAAAAGATCATAGCAACCCCCTTAGAGACGAAAAAATATCCACAGTCTCGTGACGTCAGAGTGAGTGCGTTTCAACCAGCTGTTAATAGGTAAGTTAGCTGGTAGTTTGGTATTTGGTAGTCTTTTTTTCACGAATATTCAACATGACAAGGCGGTGTATTGCAGGGACGTGCGGTGAGGTTTGTGATTGGGGAGGCACTGACTTTAACAGTCAGATTTATTTACCATCATTATTCTAATAAAATAGCATTCAATCGTCAATGCAAAAACGTCCACAAACATTATATACTGTAAAGATAAGAACCAGCATATTATTAAAAATCCCACAACACATCTAGACGCTGGCTCTCGCTGCTCCGCATCAAACCAAGTCTTTGCGAAGCACAGGTGCAGAGACGGGAGGAGGGAGGGAGAGAGAGAGAGAGGAGCGAGAGAGGTACGTAAGGAGCGAGAGAGGTACGCAAGGAGCGAGAGAGGTACGCAAGGAGCGAGAGAGGTACGCAAGGAGCGAGAGAGGTACGCAAGGAGCGAGAGAGGTACGCAAGGAGCGAGAGAGGTACGCAAGGAGCGAGAGAGGTACGCAAGGAGCGAGAGAGGTACGCAAGGAGCGAGCCGGACTAACCTCGTCAGTCCAGCGGTGGTCTTTCAGTCTATATTACTTCTTGCTTTGATTGAAAGTCCAGTAGAGAAACAAATCCTCAATCCAATCATCCATTTTCCAGCAAAAGAAATAGCACCGACAGGACTGATAGTTGGTTTGCAGCAAAATATTTACAGCAACTCGGGTATAACTTCATGCTCACTATCACCCCTAGCGGTGAGGCACAGACACTGCCTGCCTCACGCTAGGCTTTTCCCATGTGTATTCTTCTCCATGGGCGTCGGACTGGGGGGGTAAAGGGTACCGAGTACCCAGGGCCCAAGGCGGGGAGGGGCCCTCTAAAGTGTGTCTTTATATTTATATGTATTAGGCATTGTGGTATATTCATATTATTACAATTTGAATGAAAGGGGCCCTGTATAAAAATAACCAACGTTTTAACCTCAGTTTTCCTCTAAAAACAAATTTGTATGCTATATCAGGGCCCTGCCACCCCCTTACAAAAGATCAAATGGTACGACCCACATGTGCGCTTGTTGCTGTGTTGCTGCCGCTGCAGCGAGTTGATTTGTTTGAGCAGCGGCAGAAGCGGGAAAAATAGAAATGTCTTTTCCAAAGAAAGGAAAATCAGGATTTCAGAAAAGAAAAGAAAACAGGACAGGGAGAAAAAGTGTAATGAGGGAAAGCAATTGCTTACTCAGTTCTTCCACACGAGAGGTGAGTATATAGAGACGTGTTAAGGCCACATCAGGAGAAAACCCAGAGACATTTGTTTCTGTATTCTAAACTCACGGAGAGCTAACAGTGTGCTGTGTACGTGGTAAAAAAAAAAACGTTATCCAGAGTGACACACACAGACGCGCAGCTGTAAAGGGAGCTCACACACACTGCTGTCCACTTCTCCTTCAAAGGCGGGCAGCAAAGAGTTATTTTCATGTACAACCCTGTACCCTATATTCCCACTATTGTCATAATCTGTCCGTCCGTGAGTCTTGCAGTCATAAGTCACGGGTCACTCACTGGCCTCTGCATTGGATCATCTGGTTATAACCATACTAATCACACGCCCCGCACCGATTTGGAGTTTTTTGGTGAAATCTAGTGGTCAAAATAATGTAAATAAGTCTAATGGTCTAAAGGTTTCTAGCTCTACAATTATCTTAGTGTGTAAACAAGGGTGAAATGAGACTTTCTGGTGTGTAAACTATTGCTTTTAAGCCAGAAATGACAACTGACAATCACAGCCCAGACCATGCCCAACTGTAAGCCCCCCTTCTTCTCCACTGGTGCCATTTTTACAGAAAAATGTCAAATGTTCATGTGGGCGGAGTAAGGCTAGGCACAGGTGTTTAGTTGAAAATGGAATAGGCTTATTTCAAAAAAGATTGCATCGATTTGAATTTTGCCACAAAGTCTAAATTGGTGGATAATAATGAACCATAAAAAGTATTTTGTTGTATATTTGTACAATAACAAATAAGTAACTTACCTACTCATGGTCCATACAAATAAGATGAGATATACTATATATTTTATATGAATAGCCATATACACATATCACATAAAGGCATGCAGGCATATACGTAATAGCTATACACTGTAATGATGGAATATAGTATCTGTTTGCAACCCATTAAAGCTACTTTATTTCAGTTTCAGGAAGAGAAGCATCATGGCCAGATGAAGGCACTAGTAGTGAGGGTTTGACAGTGAGGCATGGTGAGCATTTATCAGTCACTGATTGAACCACCATATCAATCCCCCCCCCCCACTGAAAGATCAAGGCTATGCTCACACTCAGAGAGTAGCCGTCCTCCTGTGGACTCACCACCTGCAGAGGGTCAGTGAGGGGCTGGTGCTATGAGACTTGGGTGGCATCTCTGACTGTCACCCCCCTGACCCAGAAATGGATTAAAGGGTAGAAAATGGATGGATGGATGGATGATTGAACTGTTTTCAATAAGTTAGTAAGTTATTACTTTATAAGTTTTACTGTATACACTAATTCTATATCATTTTTGTCTGTATTGTGTCCATGTAGCAGAGGCAGAGGCAGAATTAGAAGAGGATGTAGAAACTGAATTAAGTGATGAAAGGGAAAGCGAAAGTGATGAGAATGTGGAGAGGATTGAGGAGGAAAGAGACGACACCAAGAGACAGAGAATAATGATGAGGGATTGTCAGAGGACCCAGGATTATGGCCAGAGAATCTCACCGATAAACAAAGGAAAAGAATTGTTCATCTACTAGCCAGTGATGGTGGTTCAAAAACAGGCAATACCATATATTATATATAAGAAACGTGTAGTGGGGGCCCATTGAGAC